GCATATTTAAATTAAAAAATAAAAAAAACAAGTGAGAAAATAAAAAAATGAATAACAAATGCAAATTAAAACCCCATAATAAATTTACTCTTGCAATCCGATTGCAAAAGAGTAGGGCATAGAGAGCAACGGGACCCTTTGTATACCTTTCATTTTACTTCGAGTGCTTTGCATAAATCAGCTCAAAAAGTTCACGGCATAATTTAAATAAAATGTGGCATATCCACAAAGCAAAGAAAAAAAAATGAAAGTGTGAACTAAGCGGCTTAAAAATGTATTTGGCAGATACAGGTAGACCGAGCCTGGACAAATAGTTGCCGCGTTTCCAATTGATTGCGTTTCAGCTGAGGCGAACGCAATTCCAATTCAATTGGAAGCGCACAAAATCATTGGCTCCTTGACTCCTCCTCCTCCTGTGACATTTCATTATCGATTCTATATGCTCTCAAGATGCTTACAAAATGCATTTAAAGAGCTTTGCGCAGTTGCATGTTGTCACTTTAACAACATCATTAAAGTTGCAAAGAAACAAACATACATCACACACTCACATTTAGTGACACAACAATGTTGTTTCCTTGTTTCAATAAGAACTGATTTTACAACAATAGCATTGAGCACCAAGCATATCACCTCAATATCGGAACAATGTTGCCTGTCAGTCCCTGTTTCTGTCACTGATTGGATTGAAGTGAAGCTACCAAAGTATACCACAATTGAAGGGAATGGGGTGTTCAATTGCCAACCCTTTTGTATATTTCCGAGATCGAGAATGGTCTTACTTAAAGTTCAACAACAAACGTAAAAGCCAAAAGCTCTTTAATTTCTAACACATTTTTAACTTTAATTATTAGTTAATATTTTGAACATTAATTGTATGCATATTTCTAAAAGTCAACTGGAAAGTTTATCTAAAGTTTTTTATTTGGCAATTTAAATTATTTACACATCAAATAGCAGACAGTAAAAAAGGTAAACTTCAACAAAAATATAAAAGTTGACTCAGCAATGGAAAATTATTTCATAAAGCATAAATAAGTCATTTTGAATAAGTATATACATTATATACATAATATATATATATTGTGCTTATTTATGTATTATTTATGTTTTAATGTGCTTAAGAGAATAGCAAGTCAAATCAAAGGCGCAAATTCCTAGTGCCAGGAAAGGGCAGTAAATGCTGCTGGTAATTGCTTAACATTAAGCTGGACAGGTGGAGCTCGTTGTCCTTGTCGACCTGTGTGCATAAAAAGCATAATGAATGCGCAGCCAATTTTACACTCAGAAAAAAACATTGCACTTGGCGCCAAGGGTAACTCATCTAATTATAATTCCTAAAGCAGACAACAGCTGAACTTGAGCGCTACTTTCTATACTATTTTCTGAATTTCCGAAATATTGTCTAACGAAAAGTCTATGCACTTCTACTTTTAAGAAATATTTTATATTAGAAATATATATTTCCAAAAAAAATAGAAGAAAAGGCTTTTTACTGCTAAGAAATTTGTAAATCAAGAAGAATATTCCATTTTTTTTTTTTGTTGAAGTGAGCACACGCACAAAACACATATATAAAGAAGCCTGGATTCGATTTTATCCTGCAGGCAATTACATGCATACACACGCACTGACACAAAGTGGCAGCCATAGTTAGCCTGTGTGTCCTGCGTTCTGGGCGCTTTAATCGGACTCATTAGCAGCGACACTTTAATGAATATGCCCGGGCAACTCGACGGTCGCCTCGTCAAATGACAGGATGCGCAGCATCAGCAATCAAGCCATTCTGCAGAAACCTTCTCTCTCTGCCTCCCTGCTTCTCGCCCTCCTTCTCTCAAAAGCTTTGTCTCCCTTTAGTGTGTCTATGACCGCTAAATGGATTGCTCGCTAACGTGCCATAAATGTAAATTTATGGCCATCATTAGGTTAAGGTCTCACTAGCGTTAACGCTTACCTTACTTTCACCTCAACTTTTAATGTGCATTTAAAATATAACAGTTTGATTTAATTAGTCCAATTTCAACGTTACAGCATTTAACTAAACTGCTAAATTGTTCATAGCAAGCTTTTAGCTTTCAGTGAACCACATTGCTCAAGCTCAAGTAGCAAAAGTAAAAGTACTTTAGCATTTAATATGTAATATTCAAGAATAGTTTAATTACATTTTAATATGACTTGGTGTGCTTAAGGTATTAATAGCAAGTATGTTTGAACTTTTAATCAAATTACATTACATACTTACATCTTCATTCGATTATGGATGATAGCCTTCAAGTGCATTCACAGACACTCATTTTTTTACTCAGAATTTTATTACGTCCGCATCATTAGAGTTAAAGCTTTTGGCTCAATAAAAACATGTGCGAAAAGTGGCCATTGGGCGTGTGTAAACCATTTCCTGTATGTATTAAATTGTTGTTTACATGTTAAAAATGAAATACAAACGCTAACAAATGCTACTTTTACTGCCAACATGTCGTTTGTCATAAAATAGCATTAAAACAAACGCACAAATGGGCAACCAGTGATAAAGTGCTTGCAATTGGTCGGAACTGGCTATAGAGATAGAGGGAGACAGATATATGGAGCGAGAGAGAGACAGAGACAGAGAGCCTCTCTTTAAAAAAGAGCCATATATCAGCTTTTGAGAGTCACGCACGCCGTGGGACGAAAACTTTTGTCGTCTGCTGTGCCAGATAAAAAATGTTACACATGCAAAATGGCAACTTTGTCAATTTTTATTTGTTTATTTCGTTTGCTGTGCTCGGTTTCCACAAATTCCCCTGTTCCCCATGCTCATCATCTCCATAATGCACAATATGTATATATTTCTCTCTCTCTCTCTACTATTTAATAGATATGTTATAAGCACTTCCCGTTTTTTGGCCGGGGCACATTGCGTAAAGTGCTTTTCCGAGTATTTTCCATATATACTAATATTTTTATATGTTTTTCTGTGTGTTTGTGTCTTTTTTACTTCAATTCCATTTATTTAAGCTTCTAAGAAAGTGAGCCTACTTTTGTGGCACGCTGAAGAGCAGTGTTATATGAGAACGCTTCAATGCCTCATAAAAATAAGCTTAGTTTCTGATCTCTCCTACAGCATATGAGGCATCAGGTTGTCTAAAGAGTTTGAGCATGATAAGCACTTTGGAATCTAAATTTATAAAGTTTAAACTCAAGACAACAGAATGTCAACTGCTGAGTGCTTAAAACTTTTGAGTTATTCAAGTTAAGCTTCATTTTTTTAAATGCCACTTTAATCTTCCTGCGCATATTTTGCTAATATTTAGATTAATTTTGAGTTGTGAAATTGCTCAGACAAAGTCTTAATATTGTTGTGGCACGCTGATCTGCCTCCAAGTCACAATCGAGAAAACCTATTTAAATTTAAACGTTTTCATATTTTCATTGAAAACTATCTTTAAAAGCTGAGCCACGCACTTTTTCGTATAAATTTCACGGCTGAGTTGAGACTGCTGACCGCAAGCCACTAAATTGTGGCAACAGCTGCTGTTGTTACTACCGTTGCATATTCATTTCAGTAAGCTTTGTGCAGCTTATGCCACGACTGCGGTTGTTAGGCCTGGGGCAGAGGCAGTGGCAGTGTGCAGAGGAATACCTGTGACCCTGGCTACATAGCTCTGACTCTGACTGATGGCCAGGTGAATTCAGTTGCCAGCGTCAGGTTGGCTGACTGCCGCCGGATTAAGTAAAATATGCAGCGGCGGACACGATTAAAAATATGCAGCGCTTGCTGCGGCAAATTGCAGCAGCTTTAATAATGCTGCCACGTTGCCTGCATTAATAATAAACCAAAGGCGCTTACATTTTTTCGACTGTTTATTTGAGCCTTTTGTTTTCTTTTTGTGCGTGCCACAATATTTGTTACTCAAATTATATGCTTGAGAGAATTTTTCATTTTAACTATTTGCTCACGCAAAAAGTTGAAAGCAATCGTGCTCACTGACAGAAGCTGTTTGGCACGAAAAAAAACCCTTTTACTTCAGCAGGAATTTTCATTTTATGATTTTTCTGGCGCCCAAATGTGTGCTACAATTTTGTAAATTCATTCAAAGTGAGCAAATTTTGAAAAATGTTATATTTTATAATAACTTTAGTTACATAAAATAACTTGATAAATCATAACGTAAAAGTTATTAGAATACAATTATCTCTTCTCTGTTCGCATATGTTTTTCCTATCGATTTGCCACTTGAATATATTAAGCTTAGATTGTTGTAATATGTGTTTTTTTTTTTTTGATATATGCTATTAAAATGTTCAAGGAAACGTTTGCAATTTCATTAGTTTAATGCGGTCAGCAGGCAGGCAGGCAGCCAGTAAAAATATCGGCCACGGAACTTGGGACAGATGGGCAACCAGAGTCGACAATTCGAGCAAACCAGGCAGACAAAGTTTTTAAATCTTTATTTATACAGCTTCCGCAGAGCATTTTGTCGTTGCTGAAAGTTTGTGGCTTCCAATGTGGTTGTATATGAGGCGTATTTATGTGCGTGTGTGTGTGTGTATGTGTGTTAAAGAGTGTGAGTGTTTTGTGTGGGTGCTTAAAAATGAAATAATTTTGACAGCCACACTTTTGCGGCTACAAATGCAAAAAGCAAAAATGCCTTGACAAAAGTTTCGCCAAGGGTCACACAACACGAGCAAACAGGAATACCAACTGGGAGCCTGGAGCTGTGAGGAATTGGGGTGAGGAACGTCATGGGTATAGGGTTGGGTTGTAGTTGGGGTAGAGTTGTGGTATTGGTTGCCAAAGAGCTAATGGAATTGAGTTGATGCCGACCCTCGGCAAGCTCAAAGCGGATTATGCTGTGCAACTTGGCAAATTGTTTATTTTCCAGGCAACAACGACAACAACAACAACACATTGAAAGTTTTGCAACTCTTCTCCTCATTCCGACAAAACACCCCTACTTTTTTTGGTTCATTTTAGCAGTCGTATCTGAAATTGCCACACGCTTTTGTTTTACTTGCAGTGCATGCGCGCCTATGTGGACTTTGAGATAACGGAAGGCGCCTACGAGATCTCCTGCCCCGATGCCAAATGCCCAACACAGGGCGCCATCTCGCTGCCCGAAATTGCGAACCTATCCACAACGAATCTGCTTAAAAAGCATCATCGTTATCGACTAAATCGAGGTACGTTTCTCTCCCTTCCTCTCTCTCTCTCTCTCTCTCTCTCTATCTCTCTGCCCCATCATAATCAGAACGCATTTATCAACCGATTATTCTTTTGTTATAGAAATCGAATTGGACAAGACGCGCACCTGGTGTCCACGTGCTGGCTGCGAGACAATTTGCATGGTCGGTGGCAGCACTGCGGTGGCTTCGACTACTAGTGCGGCTGCTGGTGCGGCTGCTGGTGTGAGTGGTGCGGCTGGTGCTGCTGGTGGCAGCTCCATTTGTCAAATGGATGAGTCGCCATCCACATCGCAGAGCTACACACCACAACTCGATGGCGCTGCGCCGCTTTTATCGATATCCGTGCACTGTCCCTCCTGCAAGGACGAGTTCTGTGCGCTCTGCAAAAAGGCGGTGAGTAGCGGAATTAGACATATTTAGAGCAGCACAATTTCACAAAGTTGTCTCCACGAATTGTATGACTTGGGAATAGACAGTGACATGTAACCACATTCGACTGCACAGCTTGTCCAAGGCAAATATGTGGTTTAAAGGGATGCCCGGGTTACAGAAAAAGTAAATCATTAAGTTATCAATACGGATTTAGACAGTGACAGGAATTGTTGTAGTTGTTGTGCTATATTCTGTCAGCTATTGCATATTCATAAATATAATAATAACCCCAACTCTTATTACCATTTTGCAGTATCATCCGAACATAAGTTGCGAGGAGTTTGGACGTCGCCTGATTGCTGATGGTCAGGATGATATTGGGATACCGTTCGACAACGAGCTCATCAAATGCTGCCCGATGTGCGCGGTGCCCATTGAGAAGGACGAGGGCTGTGCCCAGATGATGTGCAAGCGTTGCAAGCACGTCTTCTGCTGGTACTGCCTGGCCAGTTTGGATGTGAGTAGACTCTGCAGTTGACAGCTTGACAATTGACATAACTAATGCAATCTTTTGGTGTATTCACAGGATGACTTTCTGCTGCGGCACTACGACAAGGGTCCGTGCAAGAATAAATTGGGTCATTCGCGTGCCTCCGTTGTGTGGCATCGGGCACAAGTAATTGGCATCTTTGCCGGCTTTGGCATACTACTTTTGGTGGCATCGCCGCTGCTGCTGTTGGCGGCGCCGTGCATTATATGTTGCAAGTGCCGTGGCTGCAGCGGCTCCAAGATAGATGAGGGCGATGCCGAGCTGGAGGACGAGGTGACCGCTTTGCAGGGCTAGCTTCATAGCTACCATTTTTTGCGATCAATAACCATTTTTGAAATTGCGTGCAAACCCACTTTAGTAGCAGCAGCCTGCAACCTGCAGCCTGCCCCCTGCCCCTTTTTAACAAAATAAACCTGACTAGTTATTTTAAACACTTGCTACTAGATGCAGATGCATACATGTATGTATGTATGTGGTTGCAACAATTGTGAGGCGGGAGCGAAGAACAGTTTAAATTTATTTTTATTGTATGCATTGTATAGTATGTGTTAACTAAATTGTGATATTTACAGTGATTCGATTTTTAATTGAATCGAAATTTGTTGAACCTATACAGAGAACAAGAGCGCGCCTTTGATTCTTATTTTTCGTGTTTTAGGTTTCGTTGTGTCGATTTCTTTACGAATGTACATACATTATATATTTATATACATCTGTGTATGATGTATATATATATGTATATGTATATATATGTGCGTTAATCAATGTATTGTTTCTTATTTTTGTCCATTCAAAAAGATTGTATAAGCTACATTTTAGAGAGTAAGTTAGCCTAAATCTACTAGCCCACTCTAGCATTTTAAGTATATAAACTCCTCGTCATTTATTTCAGAATGTTCTGCTTTTATTACATACATACATGTAAACACACACACAATCCCACACCCACAAACACACACGCACGACCTTTTTCTCAAGTATTATGGAATACAACATGCAACTAAAATGAATCCAATTAACCAGCTAAACAAAAAAATTGTTAATTGATTTCAAATGTTTGTGAAACTGCTTGGAAATGCTTTTAACTACTTAAATATATATACAAACAGTAAAATACACACCGAGCGTGTGAACTTAATTATAACAAAAATATATATAACTCAGCTGAAACACAAATCATATACGTATATATATATATATATATATATATATGAAGATATATATATGTATAAGAAATGGTTTTGATCGATGTAAATTATTAAAATACTTATTTAATGCATAACATACAAATATCTTAAATATATATATTAATGTGTGTGTATATTATAAAACCATGTTTAAAGTCTACTCTTAATGTGAACAACTACCGCGTATGCTGTTTGAAATAAAATGTTAAAAATAAAAACGGTTGCGTTTTATTTAAATTTGAATGCGAGCATTTGTTATCGATATGACAACTCACTCGTTCTGGGTTTCGATATATACGATTTTAGGGTTACCATATTGCAATGCAACATATTGATAGCAGCGATGTCTTTGTTGTCAATATCGATAGTGCAACAAGCTGATTTTTGCCACTTTGAGTTTACCAGCAATTTTTGTTAGGTTGCCGGAATTTCTTTAACAGCCGAATATAATTGAAACAGCCGCAGGATGGAGGAGCAGGCCTGTCCGCGTTGTAAGACCACTAAATACCGCAATCCTTCTTTGAAGCTGATGGTCAACGTTTGCGGACACACGCTATGCGAATCCTGCGTGGACATGCTCTTCCTCAAGGGCTCCGGCGCCTGCCCGGAATGCATGGTGCCGCTGCGTCGCAACAACTTTCGCGTGCAGCTCTTTGAGGATCCCATGGTCGAGAAGGAGGTGGACATACGGCGGCGCATATTGCGCGACTACAACAAACGCGAGGAGGACTTTGCCACGCTGGAGGAGTACAACGACTATCTGGAGGAGATCGAGGACATTGTCTACAATCTCTGCAACAACATCGAAATCATCGAGACAAACAAACGCATCGAGGCCTACAAGCGTGACAATCGCGAGGTCATCCAGCGCAACAAGACGCGTGTCGGCCGAGATGAGTGCGCTTTAGAAGAGCTGCTGGAGCTGGAGCGGGTGCAGGATGAGTCGCGCAAGAAGGAGCTGGATGAGCTGGAGACGGAGCACAAGAAGAAAAAGGCACGCGACAAGCAGGCACTCATCGAGGAGCTGATGTACAGTGGCAAGGATGCGGCCACCATTGTCAGCGAGTTCGCCGAGAAGGCCGAGAAACAGCGCGAGGAAGAGAAACAATTGCCGCCACCGAAATCGATCAAAGAGTTCTCCACGGGCATCAAATTCGGCCAGACAGCAGATCCCAATCTGCAGCCAGTGCCCAAATCGGATGAGGGTCCGCTCTTCGTCTACGAACCACTGATACCCTACACAGATGGCCCAACGCCTCCGCCTGCCAGCGATGTGGAGACCGTTGGATATATCGCACACATACGTCCGGAAACGCCGCAGGAGAATGCCGGCGGCTTCACCTCAGCGTTGGCCTGCCATCGTGCCCTGCAGGAGGCGCTACAGTGCCTCTACTATACGCCAACCACCGGTGTGGGCGTGGCCCTTTAGCACACCCGGAGCCGTCGAAGGTTGCAGTTTGAAACTAGCCGAGCACAGCACGCTTAATAACTTTTGTTGAACAATTGTCGCCTTCTATAAAAATGCATTATTATTAACGATTAGATAAGTGAACAGAAACTATTACGAATAACTTGCTTAACATAAATAAATACAGTATATTCTTATCCTATTTATACCACACACAACTTGTACCCTATTTGCATAAAAGACATCTTTTCCAATCAATAATCCAACTTGGTTGACTTCGTTTTTATTTATGCATAGACGAAGAGTTAAGCCGAGTTTAAGGCTAATCTCTAAATCCTTAAATTATCAGGCAGAATTGACTGTTGATTCCTAACAACTCACTCACACTCAACTTGTCAACAGCAATTTGTATGACTTACCAAATCGAGATATGAGTTTATGCTTATGAAGGAAGTCTAATGTAATCTCCAATCAACGAATTCTGACTGGCTACAACCTGTTCGATTTTGCATTTTTGGCCCGAGTGATGTGGTTACAATCCCTGAACACAACTTGTTAGATTTGACTGGGGATGGGATATTGAAGACGATATTCCTAGTCCTACTGAGGCAATTATGGATTGATTCCTGTTCAACTTCGTCACAGAAACATCTGCGGAAATCACTTCGGGTTACTGCAGGGCAGTTTACTCTGTTGAGCTTATAGGGTGGAGATCCTAATTTACAAAGTCTTTCGAAGTCCTCAGGCAGATAGTTGTCTTAAAGTTTATAATGGCCTTAAGCCACAAGTCTGCCGATTTCAACCCAGCAAGCAGTGATAAATAATCAATTACAGACTTGGGTGTTTTATTAAATAATTGTTTAACAGTAATTTTCATAGGCATAGCTACATATGCTAGATATATTTGTAGACATACGCGGGTACGATACACATAAGGTAGGTATAATATAATTTATACATAGTATTACACATAAAATGATCTGGTTTTGTCGGCGAGTCACTCGCCACATTTCATATTCTAGTTGCACATTAAGAGGTAAATATGTTTTTTGCGAACGTGCCACATGAGATTTTGGCCGCACTTGGGGATTGCTATGTCCTTTGCCAAAATTATAAGTAGAAATTATAAACTTATCGAGGCTTTTTTACGTTGATGATGCAATAAATCTGATGACCAAAGATTATACAATGATTATAAAAATAAATGAATGAATATTGAACGATTTAATCGCACATATACAGCGAGCGAATACATTTTGAATGTCTTCGATCTGTGTATGTGGCATGCTTCTTATTTATCGAGTTTCGTTTATCAATTGGAAACACGGAAGCATGCAACATTCACTTACAAAATCATTAATAAATTAAAGACTATAGTTAAATGTGGCTTGTTGTTATGGTTATTTGGTCCACCCGTGTTTCAGCAGCCGGCAGGCCCCGTGGAAATAGCTGCTTGACTTGAGCATCTTGGAATGTGGCAGCTGCCACTCTCAGGGCGGCAGCAACGCATCTGACCGGGCGGGAATGATGGAAGGAGTGGGTGGGGTATGGGGTGTGCGGCGGTGTAGGGCTTTACACTGCGCCCTTACAGAGTATGCTTAATTGTTAGGGTCTCAATAACGTTTAATTTAGACGTTAATTTTGCGCCTTAAATCTAATTTAAAATGTTAACATTTAATTATATATAGTTTATGTTATTTCATTTTTTATACAGTTGTTTCAAGATGCTGCTATGATTTCTCTTTTATAAATTTCTCGCTTGCGTCGGTGTTGATTGTTTGCTGTATGTGTTCTTTTTAGTATATAACTATATACATCATATCAATGTTTAACTATTTTGTTGTAGCCCAGCTGCAAGCCAGTTTTATTTATATTTATTTTCTTGCATTTGTTGCTCTCAAAGTGCACTGCTCGGTATTGTATTTATATATATATCTATATATATATATATGTGTGTATATATTATGTATGCTTTGTATCTTTTAAGGAATAACAACGCGGATTTCAACTGTCACAGCTAATTTGAACCTAAAATGATTAGGCCTTAAGAAGAGTTCGGAGTTGAGTTTTTGTTTGCTGAAAATTGTTGTTGATTTGTTGTCTAATTTCTTATTGGTTGTTTTGTTGGGTTTTTTTTTTGTGTTATGATTGTTTTGTTGTGATTGTTGTATTCTGGTTGCTGTTGCTGGCGATGTCCTTGCTGGCAGGCAGGCAGGCACAGAGTTCTGTGCTTTGTGATGTCATCGTCTTGTTGTTGTTCTGGTTGTTGTTGTGTTGAATGCGCAACGAAAGCAGCAGGCAGTAGTCATAAATTGCAACGTTAACTAAACAGAATCATCTGCAAACAGAGACAACTCATTATTTATACAGATGCGATAAGTTGTATATATATCTGGCATACGCACCGTGGTACCACCATTTAGTCTTTTTGGGATTCTTATTACATGTCTTCACGTAGAGTGTATTATCCGGCGGTCGCTTCTTCTCGCGACAGCTGCTCAGCATGGAGGCTATGCTAAGGCACACGGCTTGCACCGAGAGCGCCGGTGACCAGTCCTCGGTCAGTATGGATAGGCATATGTGACCATTGCTATAAACATGTGGATGCACGGGTATATTGGTGCCAATGAATGTAACCTACAATAAGGATCAATAAGGATCTCATTAACAATTTTTTTTTTCGATTTGTGTTCTGTACTCTTACCTCGGGCGATTCAAAGGGATATTTATTGTTGAACTTGAACAGCAGCTGAAAGTCTTCGCCCTCATAAAGTGTGCCCTCGGAACCTTTAATATTTATTTTCCATCTGTAATTACAACAACGGCTTTATTAAAGCAAACGTAAAAACAATTGTGCGCTTTGTTAAATGCGCTAAATAAGCTAAACCAGTTTTTGCCACTTTTTCTTTTTATTTGTATTTTTTTTTAGCCTGAACTTGGCCTAGTTGCGGCATGTATTAAGTGTATTATATATGGTACCTACTCGGATAAATTTTGATGTACGCTTTCGGTGTCAACAGTTACGCCTTGCGGTGGCTCCTTGATCAGGGACATCAGCTCTTTTTGCAGGCGGCGCTGTAAGCATAGTAAGGCAGATAAGCAAATTAGCTACAATTTTACAATTGAACTGCCCATAAAAATCATCTTATGTCACATTTTAAACGACAGTTGGCGTTTATATACTATAGAGGATTTTTATAATTGTGAACTCGACTTGATGCCATAATTCCAGCAAATTATCTACTTTAAACGTATTTCCATTTCGTAATAACGGACTTGAGACTAGACGAACGATTTTTATTACCATTGCTTATTTATATAAATTATATAATTTATTAGTGTAGTTTTTAGCAATTATTGATTGCTTAAGGTGTTTAATTACAAAATACTTAATAAAGATACGATTCATACCCTATAATTATTTGAGCTCACTCCAAGTACTGTCAGATAGCAGATCTGCCATCTCTTTCGCGCCCAGCAAATGAAAGCATGCCCAACCCTATTCAATTGTCTCTGTCACACTTGCTGGTGCCTCAAAATAGCTCATGATATTTTTTAACTACTATATCTCACATTAAATCAATCGAATTTCTTTTTAATTTAAAAGGAAATTTAGGTGCCTGTAATTTACGACCTGTCCTCTCTTCTATGTCCTTTAGTGCATTGCGTGTTGTGTTTGGGTTACATATAAAGACTGATTTAAAGAGATGTGCAAGTATAATAATAGAATTTCCTTTTTGGCTTATAAACGTCAATATATGCTTAGTGTGTACTCTGGCACATTTATGTATACAAATTATATATATAGATAGGCTTTTTTGCAGATAAGATAAAAAGGCGCTCGTGCAATTCTACAAGCCGCTAGAATGTGTCGATTGATTTGTTTTCTATATTCGCAAAGCTTTTTCTTTCTTTCTTTGTTTTTTCGTTACTTTATTATCAGTCATAAATATTGACTCGTATATAAGTATATCTTTACACACACATATACATAAAGGATATGTTTTTGTCACACCATATTTATCAGTTTGGTCGATAAGAGTTAAGCGCCTTGTACTCTAGTTCAGGTACACAAGTGAATTAATTATTATCATAAGACAAAAAACAAATACCAAATGGAAAGACGTAGTTCTTTAAAATGGTATTACCTACTTTTCACATATGTATATGCCCTATTTGTATGTATATATAAATTTAATCTTCCACTTTCTATACGAGGTATTTTCGGCAGTATAGTCATTATTTGTTCTGCGAAAAGCTTCCGAAGTGCCGCCCAACTAATGACGCAATTCCTGGCTAATGCACTACAACAAAATAAACCTAAATAAATATATATAAATATATATGCAAATCATGGTGATTTCGCAGCTGTTGCAATTGGTTAACAATATAGAAAGGTAAAACAAAACGTAATCAATCGTTAGAGCTGAGACTTGAATGACAGTGTAATTCTAACAGTTGGGTGATAAGTTCAATTAGATATGGCCTGCTATATGTTTTATACCCTCGATAAGGCTGTCTCAAGGCCAATGTGCCCAAAGTTCTGGTTTGCTAATTGTACTTGCCTCCCAGCGCGAATTGTCCAGCAGCAGCGACTTGCCACATTTGGAGACGGGCGGCGTCTTCGACTCTTTGGGATCGGTGATTATCTCCGATTTTTGAGAAGACGATATTTTCGATTTCTTAAATAAACTCAGCATTTTGTCACACTTATTCATTTTGTCACGTTTCTTTACTCGATTTTTACGATTATTATTTATTTTATTTTATTTTATTTTTGTACTGCTCGCAATGATTATGAGTTTTGTTTTTAAATTTTAAAATTGGTATATTTGGTTTCACGTTTGTCGATAGCCAACTAAGTTGAGATACTTTTGCCCAGGGCGCAGCACACTTGAACAAACAGCCGCATTTTAGCAAAACCCAACGAAATCAATTCAAAAATTTACAATTCTCAAAAATTCGCGACTAGAAAATAAACAGCAACAAGACCGCCAACGTTCCGCAAACGACTGTCGCGAAAGCATCGAGAAATTTACTCAAAACCCAACGCAAACCAGCCCCCCCAACCCCCTACCCCGAATCACCGCCAACCCGACGAGCCCAACACTAGCTCTCGAGACGAGGTGTCGACAGCGGTTCGAACTCGGCAGAGTTCGTGTTCGTGCTCGTATTCGTCATCGGCAACACGCCTCCGTCTGCTTAACGTGCTCCCTCTCCCTCTCTCTATTCCTCTTCCTCTCCCTCTCTCCATCTCTCTCTCTGTTCATCTCTCTGCATACCCTTTGCATTGAAAAGACTCATTTACGATCCCATAAAAGATATTCAGGATCAGCTGAGGCGATTTTATGTTTTACAATTATGTTTGTTTAACGGGAAGAAATGTGTTTTTAACGCAAAGAAGCCATAAACCTTAATAGCGATATATGCATACAGATTGTTCTTGGTCGATATAACCACATATCCGTATAAATATACAGTTGATTTGAACAGTGTTTAAGACACTCGCCATTTTCAATTGTTTCTGGTTTTCTTTTTCTGTTATCGCTATCAAAATATGGGCAGTGTTGTGTCGACAGATGGCAGACAACCAAAACTCGTTTATCTGTAGATATCTAGGCACATATATATATATATATAGTTTATTTGTCAGCAAACTGCAGCTGAGATGCGACACGAGACTGTTGACTGCTAACTGCTGGCTGCGCTTTAAGCCCGGCAAACACGTCAATCTCGGCAAACTCGGCATGCTCTGCTTGGCTGATAAGCAGCTGATAAGATTACAGTCTTATATATATATATACAATAATTAAATAGTACATATATATGTATATGTCTATATGTATATATGTACTATTTAATTAAGTCCTTACGTACTTACAAATAATTTTATTTATTTTTTATAACGCATCGTAAAACAAAAGTCCCCAAAAAACCAGAAATTAAGGCCAAAAACAGCAAACAGGCCAATAAATTAACGTCAATTGAAAATTTATGGCAGCAATTTGATGTGACGACGAAATGTTGCCATTGCAATTGAAATTGCAAACGTGCGAGAAACAAATCAATCAAAAGAGCAGCAGCAAAATGCATTTGCTCTCTCTCTCTCTCTCTGTCTCTCCCAGTAGATTGTCAATCGGGTTATGCAAGCAATTTTATAAAGCTCATTAAGCCATTGGTAAAAGTCAGCAGAATATTTAATTTATAAACACTTGAAACTTTCCTTGTCAAAATCTACTCATTAAATCATTATTTATTAAGCAAAAGTTTCCTTTCTTTTTGCACAGTGAAAGCTTTCGCACTTGATGACTGTGCTGAACTTATAATTGATTAAAGAGTTATAAAACATTGATTTGATAGAGCAGCAAGAATAAGTCAGCATTTGAGAAATAAAACAGAATGCAGAATTCTTGAATTTCTATTATTATTCAAGTTAGTGTTCAAGTGTGTAGCCACAATTCGATTTTCTATGTACCCTGCAAGACTAAAAATATGTATTCTAATTTTCAAATTGTTGCCAAGCGAAAAGTTCAGGGAAAACTTAAAAAAAAAACATCGGCTATTCAATGCAGCGCAGCTGATTGCTACCCTGTTAACATTTTATAGAATAATAAACAGAAGAAAATGAGTGTTATGCTTTAGGTGGGGGATCATCCCAGGTGAGTAATTAAAATAGTAGGAAAGATAACAATTTGAGCATAAATGCTTTTATTTCTGCTGTTAGTCAGAATAAACAGATTGCTTCGCTGCCATAAACTAAATTAAAATCGCTCGGATTTTGTTTTTAAAAATGCACATGCGATAAGAAAAAACAAGTTTTGTGAAATTGAAAAGCTTGCGAAATAAATTGCGCGTGAACAGCAAGAAATAAACAATACTTAATTTCAATAAATTCGATTTGTTTTTTGTATTTTTTCTTAAGCGCATTTCTCGAGAATTTTTTGGGTAAACAACAAACAGAAAGCAAAAAGAAACAAAAACACTTGATAAAAGCAGCCGCTGCTGGTGCTGTTGATAAAGTCAAGTGGGTGTTGAGCGGACAATGGGGCCACTGAAGGTCATTTGGACCAAAACAAAAACCAAAACAGAGACAAAGAGAGAGAGGAGAGTGTGAGAGGGGGAAGGGGGAGGTGGCAGAAATAGCGACAGGTGTGTGACGAAAGTTTTTCGGCCAGTCAATTATGAGTCATGAGTCATGGCCAGCAAACGTGTAGACGCGATGCTGTTGACACTTTTCACTTGTCATTTTATTTGCTCGGCAAATTAAGTACTTTTGGGCCAACAACTGAATCATGACCGACAACTGGGCAAAAACTGGGCAACAGTTATGCAACTTGAACATGCAAAAGCCATATAAAACGATTTCCTGAATGCGGCCCAAAGACCAAAAGCAAAAAACAAATGCAAGAACCTTAAGCGCATTACACGCGAGAAAAGAAAGAAAGGGAGACACAGATAGAGAGAGAGAGAGAGAGAGAGAGACAATAAAATTGCAAAAATAGCAACGAGCTGTGTGGCAAGGGTCAAAGGGGGGAAAAGGTAGTTTGCCTGGTGGCAGGCGGAAGTGTGCAGCATAACCTTAAACTTGCAATTTGCTAAATCAACAATTTTGACCTTGGTCGCAAAGCCGATAAAAACACAGACAGATATATATATATATATAAATAAATGCATATATATATTTATTGTGCAACTCGAGAGCATCTGCCACGTCACTGGGGCACGGCAACGTGACGTCAAAGTTATTTTCTTTTTTTTTTTTTGGGTCGCTGACTGTCGCACTTTATAAATATCAACAAAAAAAATAAAAAAAAAAAGAAACCAGATGTGCCTGTTTTGAAACGAGACTCAAAACAAACAGAGAGAGAGAGAACGAGAGAGAAAGAGAGAGAGAGGGAGCAAGCTAGACGTGTATCACGTACTTAGCGAGTGATAAAGACCGAAGCCAGCTCATCTGGCTGCCTCATTGAATCACCCTCCATATCGACACAAACTGAACGGAAAGTTCACAATGCAATTGAAAACTAATCAGAATCCACTCTGAGCGTGTTCACATTCACGCCAGGGCGTGAAATGTGCATGGGAAACAGTTGTTATTGGAGCCAGAACAGCTGATCTCGATGAGCTATCTGTAGGTTCTCGGTTTATGCGCGATTTCTATTGCTGACTGTTAAAACTCTAAAATGTGAGTTTCTGAAAAAATGTATTTTCAAATACAGAAATAATGAAGACAATAATATATAATATATAATGGCTTAGTTTGATTTAATATCAATATGAATACTCTGATATATATTTGTACTTTTCACACTCAGATATATATTTCTACTTATGCCGCTGGAATCGTGACAAATATACAGACAAATTGTATATAGTAAGGGAAGAAAAGTGTCAACGGCGATGTCAATTTAACTAAGGTAGAAATTATAATATTCCCTGACAACAATTGTTGAATAAGGCGCCATTTCATTAAATTAATTAATATGCATTGAATTGATAAAGTCTGCTGCCGGAGTACAGTAAACAAGCACTATGAGTAATGAAGTAGCTGAAATTTCAGCTATATTTATATTATTTATATTATTCAAAGATTGCTTTTACAGTTTAGATTAAAATGAAGGGTTAACAATTATTTAATTGAGCAGGCGCTAAATCAATCAATAAATAAATCGGCTTATCTTCAAGCACAATATTTGGTGCTTAAAGTTCAAAGAGAAGCGCAAGGGAAAATTATAAATTAATTAATCAATTGTGTCTCAGTCTCAGCACATAAGGAAGTGCAGCCTTAAACGAAGAAGATGTTTTCATTGTTCTTTGTTTTTGCTACTGTTTTTGTATGTTATTTTTCCGAGTCGCGTGTTGTATGCATATTTCATGATGGATCCGTCGTTTATCAGCCAAAATCGAGCCAAATTTGAATAGTAGGCAGCAGAAAGCGAAGGCTTTGTTCTGATTTCGCAACGACGCAGAATTAATGCCAAAATTGGCTATATAGCGACGACTCGGCTTGCATATCAAATATGCAAAAACTGGTTCTACTGAGTAGATCAAAAATAAAATAAAAATAAACATAAAAACCGCATTTGTCGAGCTACACATAAAAATGACATTAATTCTTGAACTTTTGAAACAGGCTGTGAGTAGATCAACAAAATGCCTTGTATAAATATATATATATATATACTTATATATTTTTAGCATTTGTGTATTTACAAATTGAGTTTGTGCCAAGTTAAACTAAAGATGTGTGAATAAACAAAAAATAGCCACACGAATTTGATTGACGGAAAGCGTGCCAAGAAATTTAATGGATAAGCCGAATAATGAATTGAGTGGGAATCGCGTTAATTGAATCGATAATTAAAACATTGCTATCTGTGCTTAGTGCATGCAAATTGTTTGTGAAATTGTGATATGTAAACATTGATTAGCACGGAACTGAACCGAAACGAACCGAACCGAACTGAGAATGGAGCGAAATGCAAATCGTCGCGTGCGAATTCACGTGTCAACCAGCGGGCACTGAATGAAATCGACGGCGAAACTAAAGCAACAACCGGGCGAAATGCGCGTTGAGTGAGCGGCGACTTTGTGGCGGGCAGAAGACGCAAGAGAGCGAGAGTGAGAGAGGAAGGCAGCTTGACAGCTCACAGGATCAATAGATGGCGCTGGCGTTTCAAGGCTTGTTTACGCGGCGTAAACAAAGAGCGCCACTGACATAAACAAATACAGGCCCATAAACAGTTAGAGGCGATTGCAATTGGTTGCATAAACATTAAAGTGCAGAGCGAAAACCTTGAAATGTTGCAAGCAGGAAAAGTGCCCACACACACTGACATACAAAAAAGCGACATTCAAATTGTTATATAATTTTGCCTTTAGCAGGTGAAACCCTTGCAGCTGATAATGAACTCTGCAGCATCTGCAGCGGCGATAAGACGACGTTGAACCTGAGCAGTGCTCAGCAACGGCGGCTTACCGGCAGCAATAGCAATAGCAGCTGACAGCAAACATTTACACAACTGCTTACTTTTGTATGTGCTTACAGCTGGTATTGGTGTGGCTGCTGCTGCTGTGGCTGGTGCTACTGGGTCCGTCTGGGAATGAGAATAGAGCAGCACTCACCTCGCTGGGCGACATTGATGACATATTCCTTGCTGGTATTCTTTGATTGGCCGTTGCACCTTGTTCGCTGTGCTTTTCCCACTTGTTCGCAGTGTTTGCTTGCTGTGAACGTCAACGCCGCTTGTCCTTTGGCCTTCCTTCCTTCAATGCTGTGCTGTGTTGTAGAATTTACAATTGCAAATATATACAAATACATATATATATGCATAAATATACATATATGTATGTCTATATATATTTATATACACAGCACACTAAATGCAAACAACAATTTTCAACATGATGTTTTTTTTATTTATTTTACCTTACAACAACTGAGTCGTGAGACGCGAGACGAATATTCTTAGTATGTTGTTATTGCAATTTGGGTATTTTTTAATACTTTATTTCAGTGCGTCTTTATTGCGTCGATGCAACTATCGATAGTTTTACAACCTCAAACAGCTGTTGGCATTCCAATTGAAATACATCTCCTTTCCATCCAGTTATGCGATAAACTATTTCAGCAATGAAAACAAATAATTTAATTGGGAATAAAGAGTAAGTTTTAACAAATTTATTCCGTCTGTCAACCAATTGAGCAATTTTTAAGGTATCGATACCTTTTGCATTAATTGGAGTATCTAACTATCGTTTGCATGTGAAAGTGACCAGAGCTGCGAAAACAGCTGTTCAAAATAAACAAACTGAATTCATTTATGCAAATAAATGTTTGAAATGAATATTATTATATGAGCAGCATAACAATCTGATCTAAGGGAAACAAACAAGCTTAGAGCCAATGGCGTCAATTAGAGTAATATTAATAAGCCAGAATATATTGCGAATAATAAAGTCGCACAGTGGCGTCCATAATTATAAGCACAGTTTGCTAAGCTAATCTGTTATCAGCGCTTGTTGCCCGATATTCGCTACTGATAAGCATCCGGCAGACAGCTTTAAATGCACGCGCCGCACAACTTAATAACTCAGTGAGGAATTCGCTTCAACAGGGACACAATCAAAAAAATGCATTTCGGTGTTTTAGGCAGTGGCATTATTGGTCTGACGACCGCTTTGGAGTTGCAGGAGCAGTTTCCCACAGCGCAAATCTCGATCATCGCCGATCGCTTCAACGAGGATACCGTTAGCTATGTGGCAGCCGGCATCTTTCGACCCGGCACCAGCTTCATGGGCCCCACCCAAGAAATTACGCAGTAAGCACTAATAAATATTAAATAAATATTAAATATTAAATCACTTTAATTGCAGGCAGTGGATGAGGGATGCCTTCAACTACTGGGACGACATACGTCGCTCGAAGGAGGCGTCGCTGGCCGGTGTCTGTCAGCTTTCCGGCTATATATTCTCACGGACCACGCCCTCCATTGTGCGCGTAAGTCTCTAATCAGCCCTACTTATCGGCCTTATTTACTTAATTTATTCTAATAAATTTGTTTATTTTAGAATCATTTTATTGAGCAACTGCTGCCCGTTTATCGACGTGCCACCGAGGAGGAGCTACAGCTGTGCCAGGGTGGCTGGAAATATGGCTCCTTCTTCACAACTTGCCTCACAGAGAGTCGCCTCTTTCTGCCCTATGCCACCAAGAAGTAGTCTTGCCCAGTTTCCATTCACTTTCATCCATTTAATCATCTCGCTTCCCTTGCAGATTCCTTGCGAATGGTGGTCAGGTGCTGCGTCAGCATGTGAGCAGCTTCTCTGATGTACCGGGTGGTGTGGATGTGCTGCTCAACTGCACGGGCATGGGCGCCAAGGAGCTGTGCAACGATCCACATCTAGTTCCCATTCGGGGCCAGGTGTTGAAGGTACGTGCCCCATGGATTAAGACCGCTTTCTATGGCGATCTAGATACGTATGTGTTGCCCGGCTTTGAGACGGTCACCATCGGTGGTTGTCGCCAGTACGATAGCTACAACATGGAGTGGTGCAAGTACGACAGCATGGCCATTAAGGAGCGCTGCTATAACTTGCTACCCAGTCTGAAAAAGGCGGAAATTGTACGGGAATGCGTCGGTCTTCGGCCACATCGCTCCGTGGTGCGTGTGGAGCCGGAACTGCTGACCAATGCCGAGGGTCGTCGCCTGAAAATTGTGCACAATTATGGACACGGTGGCTACGGAGTGACCACGGCGCCAGGCACTGCCAAATATGCGGTGCAAGTGGTGCGTGATTTGCTGGCGAGCAACAGCAAATTGTAGCGTGATTGATTCAATTTATTAATGATTAAAGTTTACTGTTCATAAAAACAACACATTTTTATTTAGCTCTGACTTTTATTTGCAATAAATCGATCGACAATCAAAACATAAACCAAAAACCCATTCAAGATAAGACTTCAATGAACTTAAAAACCATTTTATCGATACTTCAGTGTTGCATAACGTTAATAGTTATTGTGCGCAACTGCGTCGCATGAATGGAAAGCTCGGCCAGCTTTGGCAGCAAAAAAAAAGGAAGAAAAGCTGTGAATCGATTTTCACCACTGGAGCAGCAGCAGCAGTAGCACCAGGAAGAAGCAGCAGCAGCTGGAACAATTGAAACTGTTTAAATGATGAAAACGTATACAAAACGCTTATATTCGCCGCGTTAGTCAATTCGCTGCAAAATCCACACACAGACACACACTCTCTCTCACACACACACACAAACTGCCGTTACTGCAGGAAAATTTTTACTTCATTCGTAGTCCTGTAAAAGACGACGACGTATAAAACAGAGCGAAAGCGATAAAAGTTCTTAGTAAAAAGCTGAAAATATAAAAGTTGAAAATCAGTTGAGAATTTGCCATTTGACTAAACGAACAATTGAGCTGAATCGGGCGAGACGAAACGCGTGTCAAAATCACACTGAATTATTGATCGAATTGTCGTAAATAAAAAGCGCAAAAAACTCCAACAGCAGGCAGCAAACTGGAGAGACACGAAACCAGAACCAAGGCTAAAATTGAACCCAAAAAACCAATAAGCAGTAGCTCAGTGTAAAAAAATCGAAAAAAGACATAAATCGAGTGAAAATCGCAACTCGCAGCGACATATCGATTTGTGTGTATTTGTGTGAAAAATAACAGTAACGAGCTTACTCCCACGCAAAAACCCACGCAAACACACACCCACTCACTCACACACACACAAAACAAACACACACACACAGTTGGCATACGTCAACAATAAGAAGAAGAAGAAGAAGAAGACAAAAACAACTAGGAGCAGCAGAAGAGCAGTTGGTTGTCACAAGGAGCTGCGGCAGCACTTAAGGAATTACCCCAGGATATCTGCTGGCATCCGGGGCAATCAAAGCCCACACACACAGCCGCACACACACATACACAGCAAGAGCAACAACAACAGCAGTAGCTGCAGATAAACAACCGTAACAACCTCAAGAGTAAGTCACTGCTAATGCCTAATGCATTTGCATTATAAATAACATTAAGTATACGCCGCGTGGGACTCTTTATTTTTTTGCATTTATCTATGTAGAGTTGTACTAGACATGTACATAGTATATATATATTTACTATCTGAGATGTGCAAACAGTTGAAATATCAACAACAACTTTCGTTTATTCCGCTTTTTATTTTGTCCAACAATAATTACTTCATTCCTACAACAGCCACTTGGCAGCATTGATTGCACTCATTTATAACAAAGGAAGGAGAAAAGGACCCAAGACAATTGAAGGCTCACCGTTTTTCAAGAATAAAGAGTTGCACGACTTGAAATAGTTTTGCAGCTGAGGCATTTATTCCTTTAATTTGACAAGTATTACAGAATAGTTTCGATTTGTTGTCTGATAGACTTTAAGCAACAAGCGAATGACGTCAATTGGTTAAGAAGACTGATGACAAGAGACAATTCATGGGCAAAGTGTGATATCACTCATTGGCTCATTCTATCAAGAAAGAATTCCTTAATTTGCAAGTTGATTGATTGACAAAAGTGATTGCCCTACACCTTCAGGATTGATTTTTCTATATTATCTATGTAATAAGGGTTTTGGCATTTTGATGTGGACCCTTTTCGCATATGCCCTTAAATGGAGTCCATGATTTTTTCCAGATAACAACTGTTTTGTGAATTGCAAGTTACTCGATTGAAAAATAATTGCCCAAAACTAAGATTTATATTTTAAACATATTTTATAATAAGTAATTAAGTTTCACAATACATTTGAAGACTTAGAAGAGACTATTGTAAAAAGAATCTCAAAAAAGAAGGCAACATTTATAACAATTGCCATTGATAAAATGTGGCGATAAAATTCACAAAACAATTTTTATGGTCAATTGGCAATTGACAGCTGATTGGGCCTATACATTAAAAAGTTCAAGCTTTGTGTGGCCTTTGTGTCCGAGTTGGTTCCCAAAACATACACACAGCAATCTAAAGTTGTTAAGTCTACAATAGCTGCGGGTCTATTGAATTGTTGCCCAAATATCCAAAACTTTCGAATGCCCTCAATTTTGATTGAGAAATTGACAAGTTATCTGCATAATTGAGCAAATACACACCAACACACACACACACACACACACACAGGCATAGATAAAACCCAGTGTGTGTTTGTATTTGTGTTGCGTATTTGCGCATTTGCTTTGTGTTCGTTATCAATAATTAAAGTAGACCACAGGTTATGCTGGCAAATTACAACAGCTGTTCAACGTTAGGCCGATTAGCTGCTTTCAAATTGTGAAACATTAAGCCAACACCAAAAAGCGAACACTGAACAAACCCCCTTGTTATGTACAAAATCGATAATTGCAGCCTGGCGGGGCAGATAAAAAAAGAGAAATGAAAACAAACATGTAACTCGCTATGATAACAGCTTGTCCCTATTCGCTTGAACATGCCTGTCCCTGACAGTCTTTGCCTGTCGCCTCAAGAGCCTCTCAGCAGCCGCTGCCTGAATGACTGCCTGACTGAATGACTGTTTGGCTGCCTGACTGCTGGAGCTGTTGTATCTTCTGCTGGCTGTGTTTGTAGGTCTAATAATGTTGTACACTCTGAAAAATATTGCCAAGGATAACTCACATTATTGTTCGGAAAGTATATTTCTAGAAACAAGGGTTTGTCTTTATTCAATTTCTGATTTCTTTTTTTAAATTAATTAAAATTTATCTAACCTTTATCTTTATCAAGCTATTCTCCAAGCCTTTCTAATTTTAACATTTTGAAAATTATTTCTAAAAACAAGAGAGGCTTTCTAGTTTTCGGGCGAATTTCTAAAGTTCATGCAGATTTTTTTTCTAAGTGTACTTGTCTATACAAACAAATTATGCACAGCATATTTTGTACGTGCAGCATTACACAAAAAAGTCACTTTTCACTCCAAGTTGAAATAGTCAAAGTGGCATTGTTGTTGTCTACTTATTAAGCCACCCTTCAAGCCCCCCTTCACCCGCTGAAGACAAGGCTAAAACATTCTCAAGGCCGAGGCGGACTTTGACAGTCATTCCCAGAAGAGGGAATATTTATAAAAATATTCATATTTGCCGAACGGAAATTCGCAAGAAATTGACAGGTAATGGTTTCATATGCCCACCATATCCTGCTGTTTCTATATAGTATACTATATACATAGATTGGGTTTAGGGGCGGTAACAATAATAAAAGCGTGTTTGTATTCAGGTGTAAATATGTGTAAATGTTGCAGGTCCGTTGGTGGAGGCACTTTCGATAGCAGAAATTGCCATCAATTACTTTCGCTATTATTGATTGAACTTTCTTTGTTTTTGTGTTTTTTTTTTACACCAAAGCTAAATTGAAGAAATTTTCTTATGTGCCTTGACTTGTATGATGCGGTCATAGACGAATATATATGTGGCAAGTTTTTAGGCGATAATAGGTTACCAAACACAAAACACTGCACTATTACTTTTAAAAACCCAGAACTGCATGAAAATGCGGATATATGCCAAGTTTTATTGGTATAGCTTCATAAACTGAGGTATTAGTTTGCATAGTTACACATCTTTCCTGGGATATGTATCTACATATTCTTCTGGCTGATGTGGTTGCTTAAAGTATATCTGATTAAAGCTGCCTTGACCAAGACATGTTTCCTCTGCCCAGCTCGATTGTTAGTACCAAGTCCCAAGGCCATTTTAGAGAAAACCTGAACTTTGTTTATGTTTTTTGCTAAAACATAAATGCAACTAATTTAATGCACTCTCAATTCGATTAGTTTACAGTGTGCAGGTGCGACTTCTTGTTAGATTGACTGTGGCTGATTAAACAGAGTTGAAGTAGAAAATAAAAAGCAAAAAAATGAAAACATTTGGAATGCTACTCAATCATCTGAAGGCCCACGTTGAGGCCATCGCCCATGCCACAGATGGCAACACTGCCAGGCGGGGTCAGCATCTTTAGTCCGGTCTGCTCCTCCTGCTGCTGCTGGTAGTGGTCATCGCCATCGCTGCTGTTCACTTGGTCGTCATTGCTGTTGTTGTTATTGGTGAAGAGTATGATGGAGTCGGGACAGAAAGAGGGCAGCTCCTGCTGACTAAGTATGGTGGTGTACATGTTGGCATGGGAGCTGTTGGTTATTGTGGTCGTCGTCTCCAACGTCTCAATCAACTGCCCCTCATCATCCGAGCAAGTAGCCGTTGCCTTCTTTTGCAGCACTTCCTGTTCAAGCTGCGACTGTTTCTGATCCAGCTTCAGTTCTTGCTGCTGCTGATGCTCGTCTACCATGTGCTGCTGCTCCTGATCGTGTTGCTGCAACAGATTGAGCTGCATGCGTGCCAGCTGTGTGGCATCGTAGGGGCAAAAGTAGTTCAGATTTATGACGCGATTGCCCAGCGGCTGAACGGGTCGAGAATTGCGGGAAATGGGCGTCACCCCATCGCCGCTGAGCAGCTGGCGAAAGTGGCGCAATTGAAAGTCACTGATGGCCAGCGACTCGGGAAAGATGAACCATTCGGTGCCCTGGTAGCAGGGTTGCTTCGTCAGCGACCCGCCATAGCTGTAGAATCCAGTGCGAAAGGGATACACCAGATAGGAGAGGGGAAAGGGTGCGATTTGCACCCGTTTGCCAGGCTGCTGCACAAGCTTCAGATTCTGCATGAGCGGATCGAGGAATGGATTGTGAGCGGACAGCTCGAATACGTAGGCAATCATGAGCAGATCATAGCTGCTAGTGCAGCTCTTAGGCACAGCAGCCCCGGTGCGATGGAGCACCTGCATCTCCAGGGGAAACTTGCGATTGTTGAAGGTGTGCTCGGATCCCTCGCTGTTCGACCAGCCCCAGTGGAAGCACAGCTCGACGAACGTATAGCTGGCCAGCAGATCGGCTCCACTCACTGTCGGCACATTGCTGCGAAACTTGGCACGGAGCAGCAGCGTTTGCCCCGTGTTCTCCAGCTGGATGCTGGCGGGCAGCTCATCGTAGTGGTTCCAATTGAGCAACTCCCGTATGGCCAGACGCTGCACGATCTGCTCATCAATGTTGATGGGACTCTGATTGGCATCGGCCGGGGCCAGTGTCCAGCTGTTCGCTCCCTGCACCGAGCTGTAGCCATTATTGTTCACCTGATTGCAGCTCTTGGCCAGCAATGAGAAGGAGAACAGGTTGCCAATGCTCCGGAAGCGTTGCAGCAACTTCTTGTTGAGTTCGTGGCGCATAAGTTCGTCGGTCTGATGGAAGAAACCGAACAGTAGACAGATGCCAGTGGTGAGGAGTGGATGCTCCCAGACCTGGCCGATCAGCAGGCACAATCCCTGCGCCAGCCAGCTGACCAGCACGCCCAGCGTTGTATTGAACATAGTGTTAATTGAATCTCAAGTTGCGAAAGAATTGCAAAGAATTAGTAAATGAAAAAAAAAAAGCAATTGAAATGCGCGCTATTTAAATTTAATATTCGACTGATTTTGAATGTTTTATTTGTTTGTTTGCTTGTTTATTCTCAAAACTGAAGTCGATCAGTTGTCGCTTGTGTTGTATTGTTGCTGGAATAAATAGATTTCGGCTCTGCTCGACAGCTGTGAAACAAGGCCAGGCTAACTTGATGCGGCATGAATTTCAAAAAAATTCCCAACCAATAATTCTATTTCCAATTCGATTGCAGCACACAGTTATGGCTGGCGGTGGTGATCCCAAATGGCAAAAGGATGCGGCTGATCAAAACTTTGATTACATGTTCAAACTGCTCATCATTGGCAACTCGAGCGTGGGCAAGACGAGCTTTCTATTTCGCTATGCGGACGACAGCTTCACGTCCGCCTTCGTCTCCACCGTGGGCATTGACTTCAAGGTCAAGACTGTCTTTCGCCACGACAAGCGCGTCAAGCTGCAAATCTGGGTAAGTGGAGCCACTCTCACCAGTCAACATACGCACACAAAATACTTGTTAGATGAGTTGGATAGTGAAATGAAATCGCTGCTGATAGCATGTATATAGTCTCAGAATATACTCTAGAAAAGTACTATAGGAAATATTCTTCTTTCTCAATAAAATGCCACTGTCATCGATAAACTCTGATTAGTTTTTCAAATCAGTTCGTAAGAAAATGTTAAGCAATTTTCGTTAATTTTTCAAGTTTTTATAATACATTTCTAAGCTAAACATTTATCCACCTGAGGGATGCCCATATAAATAAATAAATAGACAACTAAAAGAAAGTCAGGCCTTAAATTTAACAGCTTAATTGAATTATGAGAAAAGGTCGACTAATTTATTGTTGCGTGAGGCTGACATCTTTATTAGACACTAAGGGCTAGTTTGCAAAGGCAAAGCCTTTTGTGAACTAAATTGGATAGCTGCAGACATATCCTACCCATTAAGTTCAATTAAGTCGAATTAAGTTAATCTTACAAAGCGTATACGTAATATCCGAGTAAATTTCAAAGCGCAGGCTGCCTTATAATTGTAGCATATTTCATGGGCATTCAAAGCAGCTGCGCGTGCTGAAAAATATGCTGCATACTTTTATGGGCAAACAAATTGGAAGCCGCTTGTCAAGGTTATTCACGGTTAACATGCATACAAACATGCACTTCCACACACACACACACACAGACATACTCAGCAGTTATATTGATTGCAGAACTGGGTTGAATTTAGCATCAATGCCATAGAGTAAATGCCTTAATGCTAGGGACAACAAGTTTCACAGGTGACCGCACTCTGTGTGTGTGTGTGGCACGGATGGAGTGGATGGGGGCACTAATTGTGCCGTCTTATGCACATGACACATACATACATATACAAGCACACACAGACACATATGTAAACTTGTAATGCCTCAACTCACTGACCAAAATGCTTTGCCGGTTGTCATTCTGGGGACACAGGATACGGCTGGGCAGGAGCGTTACCGCACCATAACCACAGCCTACTACCGCGGCGCCATGGGTTTCATTCTGATGTATGATGTCACCAACGAGGACAGCTTCAACTCTGTGCAGGACTGGTATGTAATGACTGCGTTTAATACTGTCTCCCTCTCTCTCTCTCTCTCGCTGTGTGTGTATTTCTGTGTGTAATTATTTAATTTGTTGTCTAGGGTGACACAAATCAAAACTTATTCGTGGGACAATGCTCAGGTCATACTTGTGGGCAACAAATGCGACATGGAGGACCAGCGAGTGATTAGCTTCGAGCGCGGACGCCAATTGGCCGATCAACTGGGCGTTGAGTTCTTTGAGACATCAGCCAAGGAAAATGTCAATGTTAAGGCAAGTTTAACTAGAATTGGAAATATTTGAGGATACGATTCGTTGTCTATTACTAGATAAGTGTACTAATTTGAAATCGTTTTACAGGCTGTTTTCGAGCGTTTGGTGGATATTATATGCGACAAGATGTCGGAGAGTCTGGACGCAGATCCAACGTTAGTCGGCGGCACACAGAAAGGGCAACGTTTGACGGATCCGACACAGGGCACGCCCAACGCCAATTGTAATTGTTAAACAGACACAAGTAGCCGAATGTTATAGACAAACTAACTAGCCTATATACACAATACCACTACCACACCCACTCGTCACACCCACATCCACACACACACACACACAGACAACCAGTCAGAACAGTTACAATTTGAAATTAGCAAAAGTTTATTGAACGCATTCGATCGGCGGAGAAATACTAAACGTATAGACAAATGACACAAGTTATCCCCATATATGTATATACTTACATATATATATTTATATATAAAAATTTATTATATTAAATTATAATAGTATGTTCATAATTAGTTTGCGTTCTTTGTGTAAATGTCATTTGTTCTGTGGAAGCAGCAGATAATCTATTGAGGGTTAAGATCAAAGAGAATAACCTAAGTGAAATCAACACAATTTATGCCAGCGAAATATCAAATATGTTTAAATGTTTAAATGTGCTTCGAGAGACAACGTTTGCTAATTTGTCAATGTGTTGTGTGTAAATTGATAACGATTACGATAAAGATTACGATAACGATAACGATAATGATAACGATAACGATAACAATAACTCATGTCTAAGTGCAAAATGCAAATATTGCATCAAATTTGGCACTAATTAAATATGCACATTTTGTGCTGTATTTTCCTCGACTTTTCCATCTCATTTTCCCCCATCGATAGCCTCTATGATTTATGAACTGAAATTTAAACGAGATGTTTTTTAGCAATGCAAACCCTTGAATGTTTTTTTTATTGTACATACGCTGGCAGCAAGTTTACCGTTAGAAAAACTGCTTGAAAACCCACGCAAGCAAAAGAATGAAAAGAAAATGATGAAAATTAACAGCAAAAACGCACAAAGCTAGCGATTTGGTGAAATTAAACATAAACATAATATACATATATATACATACATGCCATGTATCTATTATTATCTAGTTGATTTACACACACATCTAAAAGCACGTGCATAATCACAACAACAACAACACACACACACACACTTACTGTATACACAACTGTACTCGTTGCATATGCATGACAAGGATCTAGTCAAAAGTAATTATTATTATCATATTATTATTATTATTATTATATTATAATTATGTATGTATGTATTTATGTAGTGAAATGAAAATTTTTAATGTGTTGCGTATTTTGAATAAAAATTATACATATATAAATATACATATACCATATGAAATGAGAACCCGATCAAACGGCATCTAAATCAATCTTTGTTGGCAATTTCTTTAAGATCTTTGTATCCATATAATTTTAAAGTAAAATATCATTTTCAAGCAGATCCTAAATGTGGCTGATTAGGTGGGCATAGGCATAGTCAATAGGCAAGTCTGACAATAAAGTGCAACAAAATGTGCTCTCCAAATAGAAGAAATAAAAGGATTGCTGCAAACAATTTCCGAACGCACAAAGTTTTTTCTTATTTATTTATTTCGATTCTGTTATTTCAGCAACTGAACAATTGACAATTAAGAATTTAACCCACCGTGCAAGACTGCACAGTGAAACACAACACAGAGAAATCGGTGCATTTAATTTTAATTACTCTACTCTTAAAAAACTATACATCATTTTTAATATGCACACAAAATACACTTTTGTTTTGAAAAAGACTTACGATAAATAATCTGCCTTGTTATAATTTAATAATAAAAAATACAAAAAACATCAAATTGAGAAATTCTTGCGCTGCCTTCTCAACAATTAAATAAATGAATGTGTTAATTAAATGCCAGATGACTTTGAGATTTAACAAGAATATATGTATTATTAAATATGTATGTATAAAAGAAACAACAATTTTGTATAGCTAACCAAAAACCAAAAAGAACTAAGAAAAACCAAAACGCTGAAATATATTTGAAAATATTTGCTCGTAAATGCAGAGTTTCACTTGAAATAAACTAAACGCATATCGCTGTATTTTAAATACCCCCGCCTCCCTCCCCACACTCCGCATGGCAAAGAGTAGCTGTTAATTAAATATTATGTTTGCATGCATCGGGAGTATTAGTTGGAAAAGGCCTTGTAGAGAAACGCAGCTCATAAATTTGTTCGTTTGATATTTAGCATTTGAACTGTTTGTAATATAATCATAACAATGGCATATGTATACCCTAAATGATTATTGTATGTGGAATGTGCTTGTAACCAAAAAAAAAAGTAAAGAAAACAAAACAAAAAAATCAAGAAACAAATAACGAAAAAAACATTGTTAACAATTCATAACCAAAAAACAGGATCTTGCGCTACATTGTTGTCATTTGAAAAAGATAAGAAACATAAATGATATATATATATATATATATACAAACAAATATATATATGAAACTCAATAAACTTGAATTATAGCCAAGTGTTTATTAATTATTTCGTCATAATCAACATTGTTTGGCAAAAACAAATAACAAATAAACATAATATTAACCTTATAGAAAATGTACTTATACAAAAATTAAATTATTCCAATGATGGTTTTTAAATATATATATATATATATGTATAAACAAAACCTTCAACTAACATTTGCATACTTATGAGAATATTTAGTGCATATACAAACCTATACAAGATACACTTAAACACACACATAACTAACATACTTACATTTCATATTTTAAAATGCATAATATACATATATACGTAAATATACGTATATACAGATGCATATATACATATATATGTATGCGGTTTATTATGACAGGCAGACAAGAAAATATATTACCAACTGAGAAACTAATGAACTATTTATTCTTGTACCTTGGTACATAAATGATAACAAATAACAATAATGGATATTATTGAAATTATTAACATGAATAAACGTAAAAATTACAAATATGAAAAAAAAAAAACCAAAGCATTTTGTATTATTTTTATCGAATGAGCGAATTTTGTATAACGAGAGCTTAAATTGTGGGAATGAAGCCACAATGCGTTATTTCTTCAACATCAACTGGCAAAGTAGAGATATTGAACTGCGAGCTGTAATGAAATGTATCTGTAACTTCTGTTTAGTGAAACACATTTTGCATTTATAATTTTTAAATATAATTTATACATTTTATTCATATACTTGTACGTATTTGTATTGCGAAATACTTGCTTGTTAATTTACATTTAAATATATCAATTCACATAAATATCATGCAATCTTGAACAATGGCATAACTCACATCAGGCTGGCTATCAGACTAGCTGCGAGAAGCGAAGAGAGAAGCACCAAATACCCATTCTATGGTTAATTAGAAGCTGTCCAACTTGAAGGGTTGAGAGCAAATTGGGAGAGGCTTTCAGATTACCTACTTATGATAGCAAACAATTTACATATTTCAAATAACATTTCTCGCATTCCAGTATAGTTCCATGTGCTAGCATCACTTCGCTTCTTTTGGCCCAGTATGCATTTCAATGTGACATGGCAATTAAGTATTTGATTACAATTGATTTATTTTGTTATTTTAGCCACACATTAGGTAAGCAGTTTTGTATGCCATTGTTGTATTATGTGGCTAAATGCACATTTACAATTTTAATACCAAGCACAGCAGCTTATAAATTATTTATAATTTTTGCACAGTTTACAGATTGTAACAGACACAAACAAGCCAGTTCTAGCTACAATATAATATTAAATATGTGTCGAGTATTTCGTATAATATAGACATTTACTGCTGGATATGTTTACTGTATGCGTGTGTTTGTGTGTTTCTCTATAATGCCATTTGTGTATGCTTGAATATTTAATATTATTATTCAGTTTTTGATCATAGTGCGCTTCACGCTCGTTTTTTTGTACATTTTATTGTACAGTTTTCCATTTATTTAGACAGACGTGCGATTTTCATGGTAGTGAATTTTGCATAATGAATGCATTTCACTAAACTTCTCAGTTAAAATGCCACTAAAACCTAAACATTTTTAACTAAATGGCAACGTGTGCAAATTATTTATAATTTCAAGTAGCAAATTCAAAATGTTCCGAACTTTAACTAATTTGTCATAATAAGCTCTATCAGTGTTATGAGGCACACGAATTCTTCCTTTGTATTTTTCAACTCCGGGAAATCATAAACGAAATTATATTTTAACGTAACTTTTTAATGATTCCTGGGGGAAATAAATAAAAAGCAGTAGTCGCAAACTTGCTCGAGTAGCTGATACCCTTCACCACTCTGATAAATGCTAGGAATCATGCAATGTGTTTTACATAAATGAACTGATCTAATACAATTTTGGCGACTCAATAGAAAATGGATATATTTATTGTGTGTATTGCTCTTATAGCCTCTGAGATCCTTGGGTTTGAGAAGACAGACAGTAAATAGACTAAATCTCAAAACAGATCTAGAGTATGCATTTGTGTACAAGTGCTATAAGCACTGCAGTCGGATGTAACCGACCTCGTAATACTCTAATAGAGTCTGCTTTGCAAATGCTGTAGTAAAGGGAGCGTGTCTCGTTACAGATAAAAATGTTCGAAATTCGAAGAAACGGATTTGGGCGTGGCCGATAAATGGCTGCGGACAAAAGGACATTAAGCAAAAGCAATATACTCTGCCACATTTGGTATTAGAGTATAATAACTAGGTTTAACTGTATGCATACATTTTGTGATTGTTACAATGTGTGTGTGAGTGTTGAGCGTACTTATGGAGTTCTTAAATTTAAGATATACCAAAAAAATGCATAAAATCAGTCAGACTTTTATTAAATACAGTAAGTATGTATAAGGAAGTTTGTATTATACACATAGAGCTATATAAATGCAAAAATTAAGAGCTACATTTTTGTTGTTGATTTAAAAATACATTTGAATTAAATTACAAAGTTTTCAGACAACAAAATGCGTCAAGTTTTGCCATTTGCTGTTACTGCCTGTATAAATTAATTAAATGCTAAAAAATATATATATATATATTGTATGTATATATGTATGTATATGTATATGTGTGTATATGTAAATACTTATGTATGTAGGTGTATACTGCTGCGTATTACGGTCGAAGTTTCTCTTAAGGTATGTACATGATTCCTAAATGGACACACAATATACTCAAAGTGATGTATTGATGTGTGTGTGTGTGTGTGTGTGTGTGTGTGTGTATTTTGGAGTGTATGTGTTGCCAGCAATTTATTATTTAAATTATCAATTTCCATATCAAGCCGAGAAAATGTTTCTTCAAATATGTGTTTGTCTTTTGAATTGTGGCTTGCGTCTGATAGTTGCAAATTGATTTGTTGCTTGTTGCCTCTGTTGCAGATGCAGTTGCAGTTGCTGTTGGCGCTGCTGTTGCCTCTTTGCAGTTGTCGTCAGTCGTCACACTGTGGTCTCATCATCATCAATATTCCGCCTGTTCAGTCAAAAGAGTTGCAAATATTTCTCAATTAATAACAAATATACATTTTCAAATTATTATTAATACATTATTAAATTAGTTGAATACGAAGAACATCTAATTTGTTAAGTGCATGCTATTTACAGCAAAGATAGGCAATTAAAAGTATTTTGTTCTATATATTGACTAATTACTAAAAGCGTTTCATGTAATTGAATATCATTCATTGTTAGTTGAAATAAAAAACTACTTGTTTTGCACAGAAAAAATAAACCAAAAAATTGAAACATATGCAGAAAGATTTTTTTTGTGCAATTGGTTATGTATTTAAGTGTTTTATTGTATTTGTTATTTTCATAGTATGTATACATGTGTGGGTATATGTGTGTGTATATGAGAGAGAGAGAGAATTTTATATGAGTGGCTCATCTATTAAACATAAGCGTTACGCACTGGATTATTGTTTTATAACTGACAAATGTTAATTTCATAAATGATAAATGCAGCTCTAAATATATATATGTAAATAAATGCTCTAATCTTTAACTAATTCGTAGGCCTATAACACTTTCGTGCTTTTCTAAATCAAGTTATGAGTATTTTAATCTTCGGAGATTATCAATTGAAATATAATTTAAGTTGTGTTTATATCCTTGCAGTTTTCAACGATATTTTATATTAACACCAATAATTTGAAATTTGAAATGTTTATTTCAGAAACGAAGTTAACTTTCATAGTTAATATCTTTCTCAATATTACATTAAAGACTACATGAAATGATTGAGCGGATTTGGCTTAAACTCAAACAATTATATATAAATAAATTGCATTATAACATTGTTTTAAGCTGCAAGGATATTTAAACTTCGACAGTCCGAAGATTACTGTATTTCACTATTTAATGTTGTTTATCCATGTCTCATATTAAGTATACGCCTAGTTAATACACAAAACTCTAGCCATCGTCTAGAATTTAATTAAAATATTTGATTTATATTTAGTCAACTTTAGTTGACAGTTTTAACTGGTGCAATTTCTAGTTGGGGTTTTTGTACGTTTTACTATTTATGATTTATTATGTACATATCCTGATACCATATTGTTAGCGACCAAGGATAATGTTGCCTCTGTTGCCTGCGATGCAGCCAAACAATGTCGAACTGTGAAAATGTTTACACAGTATTTTATGTTGTTATTGTTGTTGATGTTGTTGTGTTTTTAAGTGGATGTTGTTGATGGTGTTGTTGCAAGTAAATGAATTTTAATGATTTATGCCACATACTTATGTTATTTTACAAAATATAGTCAAATTAATACATATATACATGTATAAATACATACATATACATATATACATTTCTTTGTGTGTTCATATTTAAATGCATGAAAATTACAAAATCAAAAGCAAAATCAAGTATGAAATCCTGGTTATCAGTAAATAATAAACCCAATAAAAGTACTGAATGCTATTTATTTATTTGTTTTTCAAATACCTTAAATAAAATTTCATGTATTTGCATTCAATTCAAATTAAATGAATTTAATATATTTGTATTTATAAAGCAAAATGTATTTACATTTAATTTATGTTTAAATTACAAAGATGAGACAAAAACATATTCGATTTGGATTTTGTGTAACGAGCAATTTTAAATTGATTAAGCAAAAAAAAAAAAGGAAGACAAATAATAAACACAGTTTTATGTACAATCGCAAGAGAAAGAAAAGAAATCAGAATTGTGAAATCTCAAGAAAATGGAAATGGAAATGAAAATGTGAGACGTTTTGATACGGATGATAGTTGAAAATATGGAAAATGCATTTCATTGTGGTTTACCTCGGAGCTGTTGAGTTCAATATTGATTTGTTGTTGTTGTTGTAGTTGTAGTTGTAGCGATTTGTCAGTGTTTTGTTGTTGTTGTTGTTGTTCATTGTTTTGAATTGGTTTTTGTTGAAGTAAGACGCAATTGTTGAGTACAAAGTGCATGTGTATGTGTGTGTGTGTGTGTACGTGTGTGTGTGTGTGTGTGTGTGTGTGTACGTGTGTGTGTGTGTTGCATGTTGTACCAGTAGTTGTTGTTTTAACAAAGCGCAAATGAGTTTACACAGATGGAGAGACAGAGACAGAGCAAGTTGAAGAGAGAATAGAAGTGAAAGATAGTCAAATTAGATTTGCTTCAAACGTTCCCAGGACCAGCTGAAAGTTTCAATCATATTTGTGTGTGTGTGGGTGTGAGTGTGTGTGTGCGCATCAGAATTGTTGAGTTTCGAATCATATTCATTGTTGTTTCGATAAGCGCATGAAAGCAAGGGGAAGAACAAGGAATACTTATATTTTATTTTTAATTCTTGTTATATTTTTGTTCTCTTTTTGTTTTTATATTGTGTATGTATAAATGTGTGTTTGATATGCCATAGAGTAACGAGAATTAGAAACAAAAGAGCACAGATTAAAATGGAATAAATGAAAACAAAAGCAAACCAAAAGAAAGACTTAAGTAAGGCTGAACTTTAAACTAAAACGAAATGAAACGAACCGCATAAATTGCTAGACGAATATGAATACGACGGTTATGAGTATGAGTGTGGATATGAGTATGTGTTTGTTCAAGAGTACCTAAAGCAACTGAAATTGAATGGAATCCGTAACTGAAACTGAAACGAGCACAAAGCGTATCTGAGGGATAATTACAACTGTGGACTACTACAAGAACCCGCAACAAAGTGGAAATCTCGCAATACACACAGGACACACCGGAACAGAAACAGAAACCGAACATGAAACGGTTAAGCCAAAACCATAAGCAAGAACAAAAAGGCAAATCAATTGGAAAGAATAGTTCATTTCGGTAAGCCGAAGTTCAAATACCCTTGCATTAAATTCGATATCACAATGATATCGTGGTCTGATGATAATATGAAGACTTAAATTAAGCTTTTGATCGGCGACTGCGTTGAGAAAGATACTCTTTGTATCTTCAAAGCCAAAATGGCCTTTTTAAGAAGCCATAATTTGACAGATAATTTCGAATGAAAGCATTATTGTAATTGTTTGAATTAAATACAAATTTGTTTAGTCCTTTACGATTAGTACAATTTAAAAGTGCTAAGTTGAGTTAAGCTTCGATTTTAAATCATGAAAATAAATAGATAGACGGACGGACAGACAATCTCAGCAAGGCCACATGATAGCACCTCTTGCAAGGGTATAGAAAATAATGTAATCAAAAGATGTGGAATTACTCACTCAGTGTCCGTAATGCTGGCGAGCGGACCAAATGGCTGCATGGGTGCCACCATGTTGGAGGGCGGAGAGGAGGCGCGTGAACTGTGACGGGAGCTGCCGCCGCCAACGCCCACTCCAACTCCACCACCACCGACGCCGCCGGCAATGGTGTGTCTGGCGAGAAGGCCGGGATTGTTGATGTCGTTGACGAGCGCCGCATGCGGATGCATCAGATGCAGCTGCTGTGATCCATGCAGCGACGCTGGCTGCACGTGTCCGGCACCGCTCAGCTTGCGCGCCTGCTGCTGCAGATGATCCTCCTCAGCGGTGTACGGAAAGTGATAGCCATTCTTGTCCGAACCCTCCGACAATCGATCCGAGTGCTGGGCATGATGAGCCTGCTGCTGCTGTTGCTGCGCCTGAGCCAGCTGCTGCTGCTGTTGCTGCTGCTGGTAGTCTGTCTTGAGCAAAGAGTGCACCGAGTGCAGGGAGTCCGTGGCATAGGCAGGCTGCCGTTTCAGGCTGTAGTGACCGTCGCGTGAGCCGTAAATGTCGGGCGTAATGCGATCCTTGGACAAGTAGGGCGACTCCGATTTGGCGCCCAAGTAGCCACTGCCCAGCGTCCGCTGCTTATCGTAGATGTTGTCGCTCAGGTAAGCAGCATCCGGATGGAAGCTGCGCAGATGTCCAATGGTCTGAGAGCCACTAGCTCCGCCATCGCCGCCGCCATAGTCCTTCTCGCTGCCATAGTGACTGGGTGGCTTATACGAGCCATACTTATCGGGATAATCGGTGCGTCTGCCGTACAAGCTGTCCTCGTAGCCATCGCGTGCATCACGAATGTTCTCCAGAATGGAGGGCGTCATGTTGATCTTGTTGTGGTGCTGCTGCATGTAGCTGGTGTCGGTGAGATCGGGATTGGGCAGCGGCAGTGGATTCGGTGATATAGTCATCTTCTGGCCATGCACATGCTCATTATCCGAGCCGGTGTCCTGCGACCAGCGACCAATGTTTGGCGGCGACTGCAGATATGCATCTGGCAGCTGACTGGACCAGCGTGGCGCATAGACCGGCTTATTGACACTCGGGAATAGCTGCGGACTCTGCACCACATTCAGCTCCGGTGGTGTGGTGGCCTGCACATGCTCCGTTATGTTGGGCAAATAGGCGGGAGTCGCGCTCACCGCCGTGCTGCGATGTGTGCCGGAGGAGCGGGCTGTCCGCGATTCATCATCGTCACTCGAGTGACTGGAGGCCAGCTCCAGTGAGCGTCCATCGGTTTCCGAGCCCGAATCGGAGTCCTTGCGCTGCCGCCGAGTCTTCTCCTCGGCGCGATTGCGTCCCGCCGTTGAGGATTCAAAGCCACGCAGAAAACTGGGCGCATCGCTGGCCGAATTGTAGTTGGACGTCGATGTCGATGTCTGTCGCAGCTGTCCATCACTGTACGGACTGGAGCTGGTCTTGGCGGTGCTGCGCGAAGTGGTGCTCGATGCACTGATGCCGATATTGCGTCGAGCCGTATCATAGTTGCCGGCCAAGAAATTATTGGGCCGGGCGGCACCATTCACATTGTGCGAACTGTTGCTGACCACCATCGAGGAGTCGAGAAGCGGCACCTTGCGTCCCATGCAACGGAGACAAGTGCGCTGAAGATTCTCCCGCACCCGCTTATTGATGATGCAGTAGCCGATGAGGCAGAAGAGTGCGTGCAACACCACCACGCCGGAGAGCAACAGACTCAGTAGCTGAGAGTGCTCCGAGGCGGCGAGCACAGCCAGCACCCACATGACGCCCATGAGGGGCAGCGAGACGACGGAGAGCCAGAGCAGCGTGCGCAGATTGCCAAAGCCCAGTACATGATCCTTGAGCGTAAAGGCCGCTTTCACCGAAACGAACAGGATCAGCAGATTCACCACAGACATGCCAGCGATGGGACCCACCAGCCACCAAACGACGGGCTCGTAAACTGATAACCAGCAGCTGGAAAGTGAGAGATTGTGTAAGATTTGATTAGATTAAAGTTCGAGTTGAACCGATTATTCATTTATACTCACAACAAGCTATTGCCGTACTCGTGCGCTCGGACACCGACGGAGAGGCCAACAACGACAGCGGGTGCACCGTAGCCCATGGCAAAGTAGAAGCCCATCGGGCCATGATTGATGTCGCGCATCTCGGTTAGCATGCGATACAGATGCACACAGTCCACCGTTGTCCAGCCGAATGCTGCCAGCCAAAAGTAATGCAGACAGATGGCAATCAGCTTGCAGGGAAACTCGTTCTCCAGCAGATGCCTGCGCGACTGCATGCCCACAAAGAAGAGAAGCTCGGCACAGAAGACGCACAACACAATGTTCTGGTGTATGGTATTCGAGTTGGTCTGCTGACCGCGGAGCAGGGCCAATGCCAGCAGCACGCCCAGCAGCAGGGGCAGCGAGACCATGAATGCCGAGTAGGAGGTAATTTGGACGAGTAGCGATGGCTCGGGTATATCCTCCGGATCGATAATGTCCACGATAACGGCATAGTTGGAGATGTGGGTGCAGCTGCAGTTGATCAGGATGGGTAGATGCGATACCTGTGCAAAGTCGCCATCGAAATCGGGTATTTCGGTCTGGCAGCCCAGCCGTGTCCACTGGTTGGTGAACGAGTTCCAGCGCACACACTGCGGATTGGAGCGTGGTCCAAAGCGTGCCGGTTCCATGTCCAGCCACATCTGCAGCTTGATGGGCTGCGAGAGATGCGGCGAGCCCAGCGACCGATAGACCATGTGCTGTGGCTTCTGCAGCTGTTCCGAGGGATAGATGACCTCCACCTGACGTTTGACCACTCGCCGATCCCGATAGATGGCCTCATTCTCACCCTTTGGCTGCTCACCGCTATCCGGGCTACCCTCGTAGTTGGGATTGAGTTGCTCGGGCGAGTCGATGCTCATCTCCTCGCCAGAGTTGCCGTGGAACTCAATATCGTCGAGATTGAGACGTATATGTGGATTGTCCACCTCGACAGCCTCATTACTCACAGCCTCCGGCTGCTCGACAGATGCTGGTGGCATTATCTCGTGGGCAGTGATGCGTATATCTTCGATCTGCTGTTCGCTGCTGCTCGTCGGTGCCTTGGGCACATCGAAGACCTCGACAAACTGCTGTTCCGTGCCGCTGCGTTCAGCCGATGAGGACATCGACGTGGAGGAGCCAGTTGCTGAGGATATTTTACGTGAGGGTATCTCAATGCGCTGCTGCTCTCGCTCCGAGGACGGCACCAGTATCTGCAGTGAGAGTATGGGCGTGGCTAGCTCAACATCAACGCCCCAGCGACGGGTGACCGTCTCATCATAGAGATCGGGCAGCAGCTGACCGACATCCTTGTACTGGGCATAGGCCACAATTGCTCGGTAGTCGTTGCCACGGCTACCCTGCGTCACCTCATCGCTCTCCGGCGGCGTTATGCCCAGCATCTCAAGCGGCACCAGCACCTTGGAGTGCTTGTCGAACTTGTGTCGGTCCAGTATGTAATTGTTGTACTTGGGAAAACTGATCACCGGCTTCTGCTTCGCCGAATGCTGGAGGAAACCACTGGTGTCCGGCAGCACCACACTCTCTGTGGTGAATGCATTTGGCTTGAGATACTTGCTCTTGTGGTACTCGCTGAGCTGCTCTGGCTCGTAGCCGAACAGCGACTCCGTGGTGACTATATCCAGGCCCAGCACCATATTGCGCTGCACAATCTCGAAGGGATTCGTGTAGGTGTCGTGCTGCGATCGAGCCAGAACAACCATGTACTTGTTGAACGCATCGACAAGGTCGTCCGGTCCGCGTTGGATTAGTTCCGTGGCACGCTTCCATTCGGCATCGTATTTGCGATCGAGTATCACACTGGCGGCATCCACCAAATTCTTGATGAAGTACTTGTCCTGGCTATGCGTCAAATTGAGGCCGCTCTGCATGAGCTCATAGTTGATCAGCTCCTGGAGTATGCCCTCCGTTACTAAGAGATCGGCGCCATAGAGGCGATCGTGCGAGAACTTCAGCTCATCCGACAGATAGTCCATGTCCAGCTCATGCGACCACACAGCCCCACCTGCGTTCAGCAGAAATGAGGATTCCATTTTATAGCGACGATTGTGTTTGGGTGCCGGTGGTTTACTCACAGCACTGCGATCGACAGCTTCGCAGGCGTGCTGCAGTTGCTCGGCCATTTTGATGGCCACAAACGAGTTCAGCTCCAGCTCAAATTTCTCCAGCTGTGACAGCTGGCGTCGCAGCTCGACAAACGGCTCCGAGGTGCAGTTGTACATGTCCGGAACAGTCCAGCTGCCCGACTGGCTGTCGCAGCTGCGCTGACCTTTGCCACGCGCCGGCACCGGACAGTTCTCGACACTGATGCTGCCCAGCGGGGTGCGTGGCCACCAGATGCCAGCGGCAAAGGAACGTGGACACGCATCGTAGACAACCTCACAGCCATTTAGTGTGACCTCCGCATACGGATTGGAGCAGGAGTCGCATCGTCGACCGATGACACCCTCCCGACACTCGCACTGACCCGTCAAACGGTTGCAGGCACTGTTGAAGCTGCCAATCGAGTAGCAATCGCAGGGCAAACAAGCCGTCTCATTAGGCGGCTGGTAGTGATTGGTCTTGCAGTAGCACTGGCCCGTCGTCTTGTTGCAGTCCGGATGATAGCCCTGCTTGATGTTGCACTTACAGGGGCCGCACACCCGCTCGCCCCACCACCCCCCGGGACAGGGCTGTTGCAGGGTGCGCTCGCAATAATCGCCATGCTGATAGCTGCTGTTGCACTCGCAGCTGTAGCCACGCGACAAACTCACGTTGGCGCGACAGATGCCAGCGGCACAGGGTTGCACGGTGCAGATCGGGGCACAGTCGGCGCCAACGTAGCCGACGGAGCATTCGCAGGTGGCGTGATCCCAGCTGCTCGAGCAGGTGGCGTGGGTAGGACAGGTGCTGGGACACTGGGCCCGTGACTCGCAGCCATCTTCGACATTCTCGCGTATTGTGGGACGCGAAAGCACTGCTTGGCTGGCTCCGATGCGCACCTCCTGCATACAACCCTCGAACGGCACCGCATCCTGAACGTGTCCAATGGTGCCATCAACGCTTCCCATCACAATTTTGCCCACGTAGAGACCCTGCACCTTCTGGGACATGGGCACGGCGCCGGTGCGTTGGCCATAGTCCACGGAGAATTGAATCTCCGAGCCCTGCTGCCACTTGATCTCCACACGATGCCAGTCGCCGTCCGAGAGATAGGCACCCGCCAAATACATCGGCTCATTGTCGTAGACATAGTAGAGCACGCCGTGCTTTAGGCTTATGACCGACGAGCTATTCTGTCCAATCTGGATTTGCATGAGGAACGCATCCTCTTGGCGCGTGCGCAGCGAGAAGGATGTCACCCAGGGCAGCTGAATGGGACGCAGCAGTGGATTGAAGCTCAGACTACCGTCGCCGGAGAAGCGCCATGGAGCGGGTATATTGTCCTGACAATTGTTGCCCGCATAGCCCTCGGGGCAGTCGCAGGTGTAGGTGTTCCAGCCCTCGCGACAGGTGCCACCGTTGAAGCACGGCACCGATGCGCACAGCGGCGACTTCTGCGGACAGCCGGAAATGGTGCCATTGTCTGCCACATAAGAATTTAAGTCCACATAGCGGTCATCGATGCGCAAATCCGAAATGCAGCCGACAAAGTCTCGATTCGCGACGGGAAAGTGGGCGGGTATGCGGGGTAAGCCGCCCAACTGCAACGGCCCCGTCAGATCCAGGAATCGATGACAGGTCTCGGTGAGCAGGGCACAGCGCTTGTCCAGCCGCAGCGTTGTCTGATTCGCACAGTTCCACGGAGCGCTCAGCTGCCCGGACAAGGCAATCGCCGTGTCGCACTTGTCCAGGACGAGTGTGACCGTGCGATTAAAGTAGATAATCTCCACTTCGTGCCACTTGCCGTCGGCAACCTTTGTGGGCTGTACGAGGGAGACGCGTTCGCTGCGATCGCCCAGCGAGTAGGAGAAACTAATGTGTCCATCGAGCAGTTCCAGTGCAATGAAATCATGCAGCTCATTATAGCGGCCATTGTAGAGCAATAGTCCGTTGTCCTGAACGGTGGCAAAACGCAGCTTGAGATTGAAGCGATGTCGCTGCTTGAGGCTCTCGAACGTGAGGAAGGAGTTGCGGGAGAACGAACGCGAGCGCAACTCACAGGTGCTCGTGTAGGGCGGCGGTCGGGAACTGAGGTAGTTGTTCATACAGGACAAGCCTCCGTCACAGGCGTCCGAGCTGCAGGGACGCAGCTTGCTGATGTTCGTCTCGCAGTTGGCGCCCGTGTGGGAGTCGGGGCAGACGCAGGTATAGCCACCCTCGCGTCGCACACATTTGCCGCTATTCTGGCACGGGTTCGAGTAGCAGAGATCGACCTCAGTGTCGCACAGATAGTGCTCCTTGCTGCCCGTAAAGCCCTCGGGACAAGAGCAGGCGAACGTGTTCACCGGATAGATGGGACGGAAGAGCACCATGTCGCTGTGTATAAACTCCGAGGCATTGCCGAACTTCAGCACGGTGAGGCACTCCTCGAAATTGAGACACGGCTCGCGCACGCACAGATTATCATCGAAGGGCAGCACCTCGACGGTGGCCAGTCGGGCAAGAATCGCCCGATTGAGATAGACGCGCTCCTGCAGATACTGTGGCGTGTAGAACTCCTCGTGTGACACATCCGGCCGTTTGGCCGAGAAGCTAACGTTGAGTATGCGTGAGGTGACATCCGTGTCGTCCTGTATGCTAAAGATGAAGATGCTCTCCTTGGGACAGGGTATTATGGCAGCCAGTCCATCGAGGAAAAAGTTGAGCAGCGGCGATAAGAATGCCTCCTCTGTCATCTCATTTAAGCGCACCGTCACCGAATTGAACAACATGTCCTCGGTGATGAGTCGTACGGACAACTGCATTATGGCCTTGGCCTCATTGATCCCATCCGAGACGGATACCTCCATTGTGGCAAATTTGGGCACATTTGTATTCAGCTGGGGACTTAGGATCAGTCCACCCGAGCTGCTGTTCAGGCGCAACAGATTCGCATTGTTGCCGGACAGAATGCGATAGTTGAGCTTATCGCTAACGTCCGCATCGAAGGCGGGAATGCGGCCGATCTCACCGCTGGGAAAGTGATCCCTGAAATTGTTGAATATCACCTGGAAGTCACGCAGCTCGGGCGCATTATCATTCACATCCGTGACCAGGATCTCGATATGCGCATCATTTCGCAGAGGAGGACTTGCAGCACGCACCACCAGCTCAAAACGTTTGCGCGACGACTCGTAGTCCAGTTCGGTCATGGTCAACAGTTGAGCTCGCTCCGAGCCGGGCCGTGTGACCAGCGAGAAGGAGTTGGAATCATCGCCACCAATAATCGAATAATGGACCACCGCATTGACACCCTCATCGGGATCGTGAGCGTGTATCTCACCTACCACAGAACCCACTGGCGAATTCTCTGGCACATAGAGCGTTATCTTGTCCGAGGCAAAGGTGGGCGGCGAATCGTTGACATCCTCCAGACGAATCTGCACCTCAACAGTGCTGGACAGTGGGGGTGAACCCTTGTCCACAGCAATGGCTGTCAGATGATAGATAGCGACACTCTCCCGATCGAGTCCCTTGTTGGTGCGTATGGTGCCCGATGTGGGATCGATGACAAACGAACCATCCTCCTGATCACGATCGCTGAGCAAATACTTGATGCGTCCATTCAAACCGATGTCCGGATCTGTGGCAGACACCTGTATTACCGAGGTGCCCACCAGCGCATCCTCCAGTATCGATGATTGATAGAGTGGATTCTTGAAGGCAGGCGCATTGTCATTCACATCCGTCACACTGATCTCTACATCGGTGGTGTCGCTCAGCGAGGGATTGCCGCCATCCTTGGCGGTGACGGTGAGCAAATAACCACTGGTCGTCTCCCTATCCAGAGGTGCACTCGTTATAATGGCACCCGTCTGTTGATTAATGGTGAACGGATCGGGACTGCTTAGTCCGTTGATGCTCTCCTCGTTGAGGGAGTAGGTTATTTGGGCATTGATGCCCACATCGCTATCAGTGGCCGAGACAACTAGCACCGTGGTGCCAATGGGAGCATCCTCAAACACTGAGGCGCTATACGGAGCATTCTCAAAGATGGGCGCATAATTGTTTGCATCGGTGATATTGATGTGGACAGTCGATGTATCGGAACGTCCACCCGAATCCGTAGCTGTGACGGTGAGTAAGAAACGCTTCTCCTGTTTGTAGTCTAGCGGCTGGGCAATGGTTATCAGACCACGACCATTCTGCGAAGTGATGGCAAAGCGTCCACGTGTATTTCCCGTACTGATCTCGTAGTGCAGGCGTGAATCCTCATCCGGATCGGTGGCGGTGACAGTGGTCACCGGCGTACCCGGTGGCTGATCCTCGCCCACATTGGCCTCATAGTATTTGGGATTGAAGGTCGGATCGTTGTCGTTGACATCCTGCACTGTGATGACCACCGACGAGCTGGCCGACTTGGGCGGCACCCCACCATCCTTGGCCACCACCTGGAAAGCGAAACGATTCTGTTCCTCGCGATCCAATGGCTTGATGGTCTGCACCCAGCCAGTGCGCGGATCGACAGCAAGCGGAAAGTTATCATCCCTCTCGGATATGCTATAGCTAATCTCCGCATTGGCGCCCTCGTCCGAATCGTACGCCTGCACCCGGATAATGTTATAGCCCACGGGCACATTCTCCAGCACGCTCTCCTGGAACTGAGAGGTGTAGAAACGTGGTGCATTATCGTTGGCATCAATCACATTGACCAGCAGCTGGGTGGTGTTGCTTCTCGAGGGACTACCTCCGTCCTGAGCACGTATAACCAGGCGATAGCTGCGCACACTCTCATAGTCGAGTGGCTTGACCAGACTCACATCGCCGCTCATTGAATCGATGGAGAACTGTGACTGGGTGTTGCCACCAATGATGGCATAACGGATCGCCGCATTGTTGCCCTGATCGGCGTCGGTGGCTCGAATGTGTGCCACATTGTTGTCATCGCCCCACTGATCCTCGGGCACCTGAACAGTGTAGGTACGTTCGCTGAATTGCGGATAGTTGTCGTTGTCATCCAGTATCTTGACCACAACACTTGCCGTCGCCGTTTTGCGTTCGCTCTGCGCTGCCGCCATATCCGAGGCGGTGACCAGCATATGATAGCTATCCGAGGTCTCCCGATCAAGGCTGCTGCGCGTCGAGATCACACCCGAACGTGAGTCAATGCGAAAGATGGGCATCTCCTGATCCTGAACGACACCAGCGCCATCTGTTGAGAAGAGACGAAAGAAAGAAAGTTATTACTGAGTTTGAATTGATTAAATGTATTTGCAGACATGTTAAACTCCTTTCCTATACTCTTCAAAGTATTTCGCAGTCTCTCTTATTTATAAATATAGAAGTGTTCTGAACTCACCTGTAATAGCTTCAATGCCATACTCAATCTCTGCATTCTTGCCAATGTCTTGATCGGTGGCACGCAACGTGATCACCGTGGAACCAACTGTGGCGCCTTCGCGTATGCTCGCCTCGAACTGCTCGGCCTCGAAGGTGGGACTGTGATCGTTGCAATCGAGCACGTTCACCTGCAACGTGGTTGTGCCACTGCGCGGCGGAAAACTATCATCGGTGGCAACGACACGAAAGTAATGCACATCCATTAGCTCCCGATCGAGGCTAGCCGAAGTTGTGACGACGCCCGTCCGAGAATCCACCTTAAACAGCGACTGCGACCGAGAGTCGAGCAGTGACACCATGGAGTAAACGACAGGCGAATCCTCGGGATCACGGGCACGCACCGTGGTGACAGCAGCGCCCGCTGGCTGCTCCTCCAGCACGGAGGCGACGTAGAGGGCCTGCTCGAAGTAGGGCGACTGATTGCGCAGTTCGCGACGGACCCGTTTCGCGATATCGGTGTCGTTGAACTCCTGGTGATGGTAGACGATCTTCAGGCGATGGTCGGAGTCGACAATGTCATTGCGATCGCAGCGTATGTTGAACGTGATGCTGACCTTCCACATGGACTCGTGTATGCAGACATCCCGGCTGGCAACCAAGTCCCGATTCTGATGCTCGATCGCAAAGCGTTCGTCATTCACATCGAGGAAGTTCACCTTGCAGTGCTGGCAAACGGATTTGGGTAGAAACGCGTTCAGATTGTTGATGAACTGCGATCTGCGCAAACAGATCTGATTCCATTTGTCTGTCGTATGTATCGCATACGATGCATATGTCTCCGATATCCACTGCTTGGCATCGGTGATCCGTCTGTGCAGCGCCGGCAGCAGCTGGAGCGGATCTGTGGCGATGCCACGACGCTTTCGACTGAGTATACGATGTCGCATCTCGTTGTCGAAGCTATTGCCAAAGATCAAGTCGCCGTCGCGAAAGTCTGTGCTGTTCTGACTGTAGGCTAGCTCCAGCTGGTTGCCATCGAGCTCATCGAGCAGCAGCTGCTGCTGTGCATTGCGACGACGGCGACGACGTCGTTTCGAGTAGCCCGTGTTGTCCTCCTCCTCGAAGTGATGCAGATGATGCAGCTCCTGCTCAATGCGTCGATCCTCATTGCAGCTGTGGCCCGAGATGAAAATACGCACCGGCAGACTATAGTAGTCAATTGAACGGAGGCGATTCGATGTGGAGTCCACATAGAAGGTGAACAGATTGGGATAGTAGATGCCATCGCATTTAAGCGATTTTCTTAGCTGTATTTGGCCATCCTTGTGACTGACGGCGACTAGATGATGCACAAAGTTGGCCGACTTGTGCGCATTGATTTTATAATGGCGCTCCGAGCCAAGCTTATAAACGGACGCATTAAAGATGACGGCACCCGGCGGTGTTTGTTCATGCACAATAATTAGATAGCCAGAGATGTGCACTATGTGGCTGGTCAGATGCATCAGCACCAGCAGCAACATCAGCAACAACTGCTTCGACTTTGGTTGCATGGCAACTGCACTTGATTATCCTTCCTGTTGATGTCCAACCCTTCTGGGCGTCGTTATGCGTATTGGGTGTTTGTGTGCTCTTGTGTGTGTGTCTGTGTGTGGCTTAGTGTCTGTGTGTTTGTGTGTGGCTTGAATGGCAAACAAACCACAGCGCAATTAATGCCTCTATTCAATTATCATTGGTGCGCTGCATTGCCTGTGTGTGTTTGTGTGGGTGTGTGTGTGGAGTAAAGTAAATGAAAGGCAAAATGAAAGTTAGTTAGCAATTCACTTACAGATCCACTTATATTTATATAAATATATGTATATAAATCTAGAGTATACATGAAAAACAATAAATTGAATCAGCGCTCAAAAACAGGCAACAATTTTGAGCATCGCACATGACGCATACGCCTCGTTGTCACTCGGAGTGGGAACGTGAGCCAAATCTGTCACAGCAGCTGACAGCACCCGTGCTGCCTTTTGGCTTAATTAAACACGAGTGCGATAGAATTATAAATTGTAGACATCCACTCCCAGATACCCTCCTTTAAACACTTTTCTAATTAGAAATTTAAATTTAGCTCAACTCATATAGCCGGAAATCAAATTAACCATCTATGTACCAACTTTGGCAACTCAGATAGACGCAATGCTAGCGTAATTTTTAAAATAAATGTGCTTGATTATTAAAAGAGAAATATTTTACACAGCCGTCAAATTTATGCAGCGGCCACAACAACTTTATTGTGTACATTTTGGGCTCATTATATGTTTATAGAGTATTAAAATCCCTTGGTTGCTGTTTGCACGCACAAATTTATGTTGACAGCTCAGCTCAGCTACGGCGGCCAGACAATTTTTAATTTCATTTCACTTGTGCATGGGAGAGCGAGAAAGTCGAAACACAAAACTGTGACCCTCGTTCAACATTGAAGCTACAATTTTGCAGGTATTTTTGGAAAATTGTTTGAAATAAAAAACCGGAGCATAGCACAGCCGTTGAGCTGAAAATGACCTCAACACAGCAAACGAAATGCGAATGTGAATATAGAATGTGAATGAGCGTGTGAATGCGCTCCATATCCATACTGCGCCATCTCGAATAACATCGAATGTCAGGCAAAATGTTCCATTATGCACAGAGCTGTGCAAATTTAATGAACTTCGATTACGCTAATGCGTACTGTCCAATGAAAGGATACACTCGAACACATTCACCAACACTGGTCGAATGTCAAAAGTTTGGTGGGGGGTCGGAGGGGTGTATTCAACTAATTCCATATACGTATTCGGGTGTTCCATATCAATTACGTGACTTTAGGAAAGAGCGGGCTCATTTATTCCGAGCACACACATTTTCCCACGTTGCTCATACGCCGCGTTGCGAAATGCCTGAATGGAATATGATGCAGTTCCGTTACCGAAAACCTCCGCCTGTGTCTGCCTGCTACTGCCTACTGCCTACTGTCTACTTGCCGACCAACTATTACCCACCCTGCTAGACGCCACTCTGAGCTCTCATTTAATTGCAGTGTAAACATGTTTAATTAAAATTTCAGCTTGAACGCGCCGCATGCTATAAAAAATGCAATGCCGAGACTGCCTTTCGACTTCAGGCTCTTTGTTGTTATTGTTCTGCATGATGTGCTACTGTGCAGTGGGGAGTTGAGGCGGGTTGGGTGTGATTGTGTGTGGCAACTGCAACTGCAGCCATCTACCACCAGTTACGATTGGTGGCCAACGAGCGTGTGCCCAACTAAATGTGTGCTCTTTTCATGCTACGCCAAGCTTGAAACATAACAATAACGAAAAAACAAAAAAAAAAAACAAAAACAGAAAAATGCAACGCGACGCCAAAAGTCAACAACATACAATTATTATTATATTTTCACACGCTGACGGCAAGAAAAATGATTAACTGCAATTTAAAGCCGAAGATTATATACTCATCATAAACATATATATATATAAATAAATTAATATGCAAATTAAATTAAATAAGGACTAATGAATGCATTTTGCATATATATTATTAAGCAAATTAGTCTAAAATGATTGTCATCTTTCAATAATTCGATTGCCAGAAGAAGTTCTAAACAAAGAGAAATCTTTGAAGTTGATAATATGGAAATAATAAATTATCAGATAGCAAAATGGTATTATTTGATTACTTCAACATTTATAAATGATCATATAGAATTGTTTTGCACATTCACTCATTTAAAAGATAGAATCATCATAAATCTGAACACAAAAGTACACAAAAATCTTTTGTATATTGTGAAAAGCCGCAAACATTAATCATATGAAACACAACGATAAATATAACAAAAATGTAGTTGCAGAAATATACACTACACAATAAAGAATTCACCGACATGTGTCAGATGCGGCCAGGTGTGAAAATATGAAGGCGTCGCTTGGAAATTCTGAGTGCATTTTGTATGTGTTTTGTTGTTTTCGTGGTTGTTCTTGTTGTTTTTGGTTGTGCTTTATATGCAAGTGGTTTGGCGCAAACTATTCGCAGCATTAAGCGAGAGAAAACATTTTACGGAACTAATTAATGTTTTATTTACAATGTTGCATGAACTTTGAAGAATGTTGTGTAGATGAGTGTGTAGTTTTGGGGCATGAAACATGTGCCGTGCCAGTGTTGTGCCAAGAACTTTAGCGGATTTTGACATAAATTATTTGAAACAAGGCTCTCAGCTTGGCACTTTGGATGCATAATTAATGAGCGCAATTGACGCGGCGCTAATTAACAATGCTCCCAGCGCAGGCTCTGCAATTACAACTCACTGAAGGAGGTGTGCAATTATTGTGGGTGGAAGGAAGCCCCTTCTAATTCTCTCGTAATCCAATGTAATATGGCGCAGATGATGTATGGCTTCGATTTTGGCCAAAATGGCGTCAGTTGCCTGCATGCAAAAACCTATCAACATACACACAACATACCCAAACACACACACACAACTCGATTCGACTGTCAAAATTCGGGAAGCCAACCAAATTTTGCCGCATGTAACGCACACCAGATATGTCTGTAAGTGTTTGTGTGTGTGTGTGTTGATGTGGGTGTATTTATTGCTGGGTGTTTGCATACAAAAGGGTTGCAAATGCCGCCGCCATAAACATGCGCATTTTACGAGACAGCGGCAAACTTTTTTAAGTAGCGCTACCTGAAATATTATACACCATACCCAGACCAGCAAGCCAACAAACCACCACGCATCCCCGCATCACTCGCACCGTGCAACACTCAGACGACGTTGTGAGCCTGTCGTCTTGCAACTTTTTTTTTTTTTGTAACAGCAACTGATAAAATTTCAACGCACTTCAAGCAAAAATGCAAAGTAAACAGAGCGAAAAGGAGAAACCAAAAAATAAAAGTAAAATAGAAACAACAACAAAGCAAAGTCAACGTTAAGCTTGATACAAATTTAATATATACTAGAGCTAAGTGGGAGCGGCGAGAAGGAAGTGGGCGGGAGGCGGAGGAGGGGGCGTTGATGTGGATGTCGCGCTGGCTTGTCTCTGGGCGCAACTAATGAGCGCGCAACTTTTCCCACATTTTTTTTCTATATTCTTTTATTTTATTTTATGTAATTTGAGGAAGCCAATGAACAGAGCCAGAAAGGATAGCAGGAGTCAGGATTTTTTGAAATTTGCTTTGTTTCGACAGCGCTGCAGAGTCGGCTGGAGAGTGGCAAGGGAAGTGGGAGAGGGGGGGATTCTCCTCTGCTTGCGCTTGCTAATGAAAATTGATCGTCATTATTGTCACTTGGGCAATTTGCTTTGATGACTTTGTCGCTTGTCGTTGTTGTTATAATTAGCTTGAAGCGACCAAAATCGACAGTGCTTAATGCAAATATGTGTACACACACACAACACACACACACACACAACACACAGCAACTCAATTAGATATTAGCTCAAAGCAAAAAGCAAATAGGCGTGTTTAGCTGAAAATCAACAACAACTTCACACACAATAAAGACAACTCTTGATAATGATAAAAATACGAAATTTATAGATATGTGCGTCACGCTTTTCGTGACACAACAAAATACCCTGCACAAGACTGCAAATATATATATATATATATATGTATATCTCACTCTGTCAACAGACAATTAATGTGTAGCATATTTTTTGGGGCGTGACACATGTTTAACTTAATTACCATAAATTTCGGCTAATTTGAAGGCACATAATAGAGAATTTGTATTTGTGGGGCTTGGCGTGCTTTGAAGAACACGAAATGCAATAAAGTTCGTCTGGCAGGCTTGCGTGCCGGAAATGCGATTCCGGTCTAGACACAATAAGGAAAAATGCCAAATGATATTAGAGGCAAAACAACAACAATAAACACAACAATGTTAATACTAATAACACCTGCAGACGGCATTTTAGTGCATTAAAAGCGTCTTAGTTCGGAGTGTGAGTCAACATTGACAACATTGCGTATACATAATGCATTCCATGGCCCCCCAACTGAGACTGTCTGTGTGAAAAGTCCCTTGAGACACAGGCGCCAGCCGATTGCACCTCTCATGCACAGTCTATTAAATTCGACGGTATGCGGTCCTTGGGGCAAGCCAAACGCTTTGCTGCAAATTTATTTGAACTCGACGCAAATAACATTTAATGAAGAGTTAAAGCTTAAATGTTATGGGTACGCCAGCATAATATATAGCAATAATTTATATACACATATATATGTATATATATATAGATAGATTGATTCAAGGAATGAGGAAAAGAAACGGGGCCATGGCACCGGAACAGTAGCCACAGCACCACACAAGAAGAAGAACAAGAGGAAAACCAAACAGGGGCAGAGAAAACAGAAGTACATGTTGCAACAAAAACAACAATAACTACAGCAGCAGCCGCAGCAGCAGCAGCAACAGCAGCAGCAACAATAACAAAACAGGCGAAAACTTTATTCTACTCTTGTTGCATGTCCAACAAGAAAAACGCTGCAAGCGGCAACAAAAGATTTCCTAGCAACAACAACAACCACAATGGGAGAAAACGGAGCATTGAGTGCAAAGGAGTCTCAAGCTGCACTTCCTCCTACGCCACACCCACCCACACACCCGTCAGACACAGAAATGCAATTGATTTTAAACGGTAACAATCCTGTGCTCTGCTAGCTGCTTGTTTGCATAGCATTGCGAATGGCAACCAGTGAAAAACTCCAGCCTGGCATATATGTATGCATGTATGTAGTTGTGCAGCGGTGCAATGGGCATGCCATGCTCATGCCACCCAAGTTGATGTGCAACATGGTGTACAAATTAAAAATGTGCCAGCGGCGTGACAAAAATACTAATGCAAAAGCAGCAACAGCAGCAATTGGAAACGGAACTGCAAACGAGCAGAGTTGAACCGAGAGTTTTGTGAAAAACAAACGGCGAGCATTAATGCAGATGTTAATAAATCTGGCTAGAATAATCTGCAATTTTCAAGAGTTTTGTTTTCATTTATTTGCAATCAGTGCAATCAGTGCATAAAAGAGTTATTGTCAGCAATCAGCTGAGAAAAGCTCACTTTAACCGGGATAAAATGCTAACAACTTCAAAGCAAAAGCGTCTTAGTTAAGCCTTAAGCCCTAAGCGAAAGTGCGTAAATCACTGAAAGCTGAAAGAAACTCACTTTGAGCTCAACTTATGCGCTCTATAGGACGCTATATATATATAAATATATATTTATCTTTAATATATATTGCAATTGAAATGCAATCAGGACGCAATAACGATGCAGCCACGATTTGGAATGCCGCAGTCAGGATAGCCTTAAGGAACTGCAAGTTGAACACTTCATTAGTGGCTTGTGGCAATTGGCGCGTATCGTGAAATTTATTTGCTGCTGTCAGCTGGCTGACATTTTCCATTTAATTGCACGCGGCTAAGAGGAAAACTCAAAGCCAAATGTTTTCCGGCTTTGTCGTGACACAAAATCAATAAACTGCGTTGCCGGCTGTTCCCAAATAATTGGCGAAATTTAAGAACATGCTCACAGCAACAACAAATTAAATCACAATAGAAATCACTACTTAGCAGCTGATCTCTGATACTTTTAAATTGCTAACAATGCAAGAATTTAGTTAGTTTTCAAATGAAACTCATCTTCATTAAAGCCCGTCGACCGAAAGCAGTCGCATTTGCGGCGCCCGGAAAAGTGTGCTATTAATTTTTGCTAATCCACAAAGCCAAAAGGATGACCAGCAAAATGCGTGCATAACTGGGCCAAGCTGCAACTAATTATGAGTGTATGCGTTTATCTATGAGAGAGAGAGAGAGAGAGTGTGTGTGTGTGTGTGTTTCTGTGTCTATTTGACTTGGGCTGAGCCCTCGAGTTAATTGAAATGCAGCCAGGCGCTTTGTTAAATCTGGAATGATAAACACTGCCAGCGGTTATAGATCAAAGCTGCAAGCAGCGAGCTGCGAGCTGTGAGCGGTAAATAAGGGCGCAGATGCTTTTGCTCGAATCACTTTGTGGCTGCCACACAGCGTTGCATTGTTTGCAATTAAGTTCTGAGACAGCAAAGGCGCTTGCAACATATGGCAGCACTCAAGCCACAGTACAATGGCTGCCGGAAATGTTCTGTCACTTGCTCTGTGTGTCGACTGTGTGTATGTGTGTGTGTGTGTATACTGTGTGCCACTTGTATCTCGCTCTCGCTCTCGCTCTCTCTGTCACTGGCAGTGACAAGACGACAACTGTGCCATAAGCGCAACATCAGCTAAGCAACTTCTTAGCTACCAGATACTTTTAGACATACATATATGTTTTATGGGTCGCGCTGTGAAGCGTAAATCCCATTGAATTTATTTTATTTATAGTTGCGTTGCTAATGTTAATCCCAGTTTAATGGAATTCCACAGTTTTATGGCAAATTTATGCAGTAGCACTATGAAATATAGCCGGGCGATAAAATTGCCACATTTATCTCGATCAACTCGAAGGCGATTTGAATAAATTGTCTGTGTGGCAAGCAACAATGCACAACTGCCACTCAAGACAAGACTAACTAAATTACCTAGCTTTGGGTGCGCAGAGTCCTCTTTCGATTGTATCTGCGGTAAGTGTCAGGATGGGGCAAGTATCTTACAAGTTCACTGAAGCCATCAATTCATTGAAATCATTTCAATATGCACATGTGGCTTAAATGCTGACAAGCAGCAGAGTATTGTAACAACAGAGTTTCGACAGTTGATTCGCATATATATATTATTTATTGAGCGTCATATAATTCAAGCTGCCTATAAGCTACATAATACAGGATAATACCCTGCTATATATCGGAAGAACAGCTAGCAAACAGCAAGCATAATGTGATTTAAGATGCTGATGCTGATGCTGCAGCGAGAGATAGACGAGTGTCTGTCAATGGAAAGTGGAACAACAGCAGCTCCACTGACAGCTGAAACAATGGCAGCCATTATCAATAATGGACAAGGAATGGCAGCTGCCCTTCTTTTCTCCAAGCAACAGGCATGGGCAGCAATCAGCACACTTACACATAACACTGGGCGTATGCGCAATGTAATCCACTTAGTTGTGAATGCTGAAAGTGTCAGTTGGCAGCTGAATGAGGAGTTGAGTTGAATTACGAGTTTTACTTACCTTTTAGCGGAATTACAGCAATTATCAGGTTCGCATTCATACTTCAGAGGGTACATGTTGCAGCTGCAAGCAAGAAACAAGAAATCAGTTAGAAAATGCTCTATTAACCAACGGGCAGCAATATCTAATTAGCAGCAATGACTGGCCACAGCAGCAAACCGATCAAATTTCTTGGCCAGGCAACAATAAAAGACCACTAATTAGCAGCAGTTTGCTGTGTTATCCACACTGTGATTAGAACCCAGACAATCAAATGTATACAAAACGAAAACTTTTCTTCTCAATTTTACAACTTTTCTCATAAGCTACAAAAAAAAAAGAAAAAAAGAAACACCCACAGAAGTTCAACTTGAGCGTCATATGTCAAAGGCTTAGCTGGAAAAATAACTTTTGGCAGATCAACTTTTTATACATAATGTGAGTCGAATGCTCAACTGAAACATCTAAAAATAAATATATATATAAATATATAACGATTATATATCAAGAGTAAAAACGTATTTTGCATATATGTAAATAGGATTTGCTAAAACAAAGTTGTAAAAGTTGGAGCCGAGAGTTAGAAATTATTGTCTTTAATATATTTTTGAGAAAGAGACAAGAGTTGATTACACAGAGACTTGCAAACATAAATATGCGCACAGCTGGAAAACAACTGCCAGAAAACAGTAAAGATACCAACCACGTTAAACAACTTTATGAACACGTTTGTGTGTGTACGAGTGTGTGTGCGAGTGTGTGTGTGTGTATGTCATAAGTCATAAGTTACCGCTTGTAGTGCATACATTTTGTAAGCAACCAAAACTCTTTCAGCCATTATGAATGTGAGTGCCTGCTACTTAAAAATGTGAGTGAGTGAGTGTGCTTCTCTGTGTGTGTGTGTGTCTATTTTTGAGTGTTTGTGTGTAAAGTGTGTAGCAGTTGTTAGCTAAAAATGCAACTGATGTGAGTGTTACTGTTAGCGTTACTTCTGCTGCTGCTGCTGCTACTGCTGCTGGTAATCAGCATTGACAGTTGTTGAAAGTTTGCCCAAGCTAATGTCGAGCTGTTTATGACAGCTATTCTGCTACTCAGCTGCAAGTGCAGCTTATCCTCTTAAAGATACTGAGTCGCATTTGAGGTGTGGCAAGTTGCGAGCAGCTTAAATTTGTTTTATGCGGCTCAATGCGGCGCACAAGCAATCAGCATTAAGCAGGGCGCTGACAGCAACTTAATCAGCATTAAGTGCAGCGACGCGCTCCAGCGTTGCCAGACATTCAAAAGAATAAAGGATATAGGAGTATACACTGTTGGCCATAAGGATATACAAATCTATGTATGTGTGCCACACCGAAAACCCGTAGGCAGCGAATGGATTTTTATTGTTTGCCACGACACTTGAGTGGAAACAAATTGCGAAAGTAAATAAAACAAAAGAAGCAGCAGCTAAAGCAGCAAAAGCAGCAACAGGCTGGTAGAAGTCGCGCGGCATGTGGGTGTCTGGGAGGGGTTGGGGGGGTTTTGCCGTCGGGGACAAGGTGTCTGCTGGTACGTGGCAAAGCGTCCACAAAGGACATAATGAATACGCTTAACTTTTAAGTCACGCTGCGAGATAACTTTGCCAGGAATAATGGCGCGAATAATGATGCTGGCAAACAACAATAGCAACAAGGACAAAGACAAAAGTCAGCTATAGATACGCGAATGTTGAATATAAAGCAGCTCAGCTCTGCATCTCCCTCTCTCTATCTCTGATGGGTGTGTGCTTAAGTGTGTGTGTGTGTGTGTCATTAATGTACATGAGACTCATTAAAGTGTCGATATGACTTTCGGTGTAAGTTATTGACACACCGAAACACACACGCACACACACACACACACATAAAATAACACATTCGACTTGAATCAATATAAAATAATGGAAAATTTAATGATATATTCGAGATGCTAAAAACTAACATATCTTGCATATAGAATATATATATTTGTATATGTCAGAGGTCTAATATAATATAATGCATATAATATGCAGATCATATACTCAGTGAACGAAATTCATCTTGAAATTTACAAAATCTGCCTAAATGAAAATCGCCCTGAAAACTGAAATAATATGTAGATATACGAAAACAAATTTACCATAATTAGAAACGTTATTTTTCAGGAAAAAAAAGTAGAAATACAAACCCTTCATGGCTGTCTCCCTTAATGGGTTACAAATTTCATGGCAGAATTATGAGGCACTCTGTCAGGGTATGAAAAAAGCCTAACCGAGGCATAAAGAATGGAAGCGGTGGTGGGTAATTTAGATCAAAGAGGAATGAGTGCCCCCAAAAAAAACAGCAAATGAGTCATCATTGGGCAAATACGAACACCAATCACACTCACACTCACACACACACACTTACACTCCCACACACACAACAGATGTCAGTACAATGTCAACATCAAAAACGGTGTACATGTATGTGTGTTGAATTTATTCGCGTTGTGTGTAGTGGGAAAATGCAATCATTTTGTTACGTGGTTCCATTTCATACATTTGCACCGACACACAAACACACACACACACACATACACACACACACACACGCACACATATTTAAACAAGAGCACACCAGTGGCCTCACCCTGAGTCAATATACGGCAAAAAGTTCGTTTATAGATGCCGCACACACACAAACTCGCTCACACAGACGAGTGCAATGTGCAACGTGGCGTATGTGTAACGTGTGCACAAATATTGTCTCAATTTGGCGCTGGCTCCACACTTGGCTGTTTGGTTTTGGCCAAATTGAGTCGTCGCAGCTTATGCAGATGTTGAAACCACCAACCCAACGCTAACCCAACACTGCACCAAGAGTCTTTAATTTCTAAAGACCACCCCCATATCTGGTGTTCCTTGAGCTTCGATGTCGAAATAAACAATTTGTATGCGAATTTTGCCTTTGCGATGCAACAGCATCCCATGAATATGAAATATTTCCAGTTTCTGCAATTTGCCTGCATTCGCTCGAGTTGTCAGCCAGTTGTCGATAGACGCTTTACCCAAATACAATCCATACACCCCATCCCCCCTCTCTTTCTCTCTCTCTCTCTCAGTGTGCGCAAAGACTGTTTCTGAAGACTCAAAGACAAACACATTTTCTAACGGAATGGAATTCAAAATATGGATATGTTCGATTAGATGCTTTTCAATAAGGCAGTTGCAAAAATAACCTCTCCCAAGCCGCCCATACATACTGTAAATTCCGTAACGGGAATAGCTACGGCAATTTTGAGGCAAATACAAATATTTGATTAAATGAAAAGCGTATCAGCACATCATGCAGAAATTGAATGCACATGCAATTCCCTTTGTCCACCTGCTCTTCAACTGCTTATCATAACCATAACTGACTGACTCCAACCCGAAAAAATAAATCTACAATAAGCTACTTTCGTCTGATCTGTGCAGCAGCAGCAACAACAACAAAAACAATGACAGAATATTTTTCTAAGGATAATATGACTGGCATTCCAGTTTCTGTGCTTGTTGAGGCTTGTAAATGAAAAGCTGAAAGCATATTTTGCTCAATCGGCTGCTCGGCAATGAGACAACGCCAACAAAGACTGAACAGATTCATTTTAGAGAAATTCCATTCCAGCAAATTGCCATGCTAAAGTTATGATTATTGCATTTACATACATATATGCGTATAGCACAGTCTACGGTGCTTGACTGAAAAATGTCACTCATACAAGTCTAAGTCCCCATCCCCAACTCCCATTTCACGCATTTATAAGTAAGTGAGAGTGCTCCGAGAAAGAATGCCCGACTAGAAGATACTGTGTGCCCAGCCAATGGCACCAAAATTCACTTGTGACACAGATGAACAGACAAACTAGATAGTATCCAGATATATATACTGTATAAAATATAAAAAATGCACAAAGATATTATACTCCCTACTTAGGCAAATTCAATTGGAATTTATATAGCTTTTGTGAGCAATAAGTTTAAGCATATCCTGACTTCATTAGGGGTAGTCAACACAGCAAGTCACCAACAATATGCATACATAAATAAGTATGCATAAGAGTGCACAATTTTGCATTTAATTAATGCACTGAGCATTTGTGCTTCCCATGCTCAAGTTGAATTCTTTGTGCGTTTTTCTACGTGCCACGCAGAGCACAATCCACTTCAGACATAATCACCAAAGAGGCTGCAGATTTTTATGCAGCGGCAACTTCAACTGAAACCGGAGTTGGAGCTGTGCCTGCCTGATGCGTAGCTGTCAAAGCGCTCCAAGCAAATATGGCGCATTTGTATTAATGGCAACAGAACCAGCCAGACCAAAGAATCAAGCATCAGCCAGAAGAGGCAGGGGCACAAGCACACATACACACACATCTATGAGCTTCAGCTCAGGTATTTGGCTGCCTTTTGGCATTTGAAGTGCATTGCTATGTGCACATGCGAATGCTTTTGAATCAACTCATCCCGAGAGCCAGCAAACCTGCCACTGAACCAGCTCCATCCCTCTCTCTCTCTCTCTCTCTCTCTCTCTCTCTCTCTCTCTAACGAAAACAGCAATTGAATAACTCAATCCGTTCAATGAATGCATTGGGCTTTTGCATTTACGTTGTAATTACTCAGCTCAGGTATGAACATGCAGTTATACAGATGTTGGTTGATCTATAAGCTGGGCTAATGAGAATCAGTTGTTTGTAAATGAAAGTGATGTGATGTGTAGGCCTTGTGAAAGTAGAGAAAATTTAACATGCAAACGTTAATTTTCTTACAATTTTAGCAAGCAATATGAAAAATACCTTATGGGGGAGACAAGAAATTCACATTCACAGTTGCCTGCTAACAAGATTTTTACTAAAGCACTGCCCTAAAAATCAATCAATAGCCTTTTCTTTTTTAAAAACCTTTCAATTTATTATATGTGTATATGTATGTATGTCTATTTCGAATGACTAACTAATCAATTTGCCCTCGTTGCGACGAATGAATCTGCAACATTCTAAAAGTCCTTTAGACATGCTAAAAGCAGTTAAAAGTTGAAAGCCAGACAGTTGATGGTCCCAAAACC